CCTGTGCATTGTAGGAGGTTTTCCTGCATCCTCTATGCACTAGATGCCAGGAGCATCCCACCCCTTATTGTGATAACTAAAAATGTCTCCCCAAAATTGCTGAATGTCCCCTTGGTGGGAGGGGAGGATTCTCCCTTGAGAATCACAGCCCAAGAGAGCCAGATTCCGTAGGAAAAAGGGCAGTGCCCATCCTGACGGAGAGAGGTGAGTGACAGCACACGGACAGCCTCCTTATGGAGACTTTGATCCAATCTTGTATCTTCTGACTCCAAATCTGGCCCACTTTCCATTATGTAGGCTTCTTGGGATCAATTGTTCCATTGCTGTACTTGTTAGAAAGTTCTTTCCTGTTGAGCCCAAATCTGCTTCCCGGTAACTGACTTCATCAGCGTGCCCTCTGAAGCCATGCAGGAGTTCTAATCCTTTTCATGGGCTGCACTTCAACTATTTGAAAACAACTTGTGTGTCCCTGCCCTGTCCCCTCCCTGCCCTGCCTCCCGCCAACCCCTCCCTGAACCTTTGGAGCATCCCCGTGGCTGCTTGGGCACTCAGAGGTTCACTCAATAACAAATTCAGCAACTACAACACCTACTATGTGCCAGGTGCTACCCTATGTCAGGAGCAATTCTCAGACAGGGAATTCAAACTTCTTGGTTCCTTCTCAAACCTGCAAACAAGAATTGCCAGAGCCTGGAGTTCATGCATGTTAAAGCTTCCGAGGGATTTGGGCATAGTCTGCCTACAGTTAAGTCCAGCCTTTAAGAGCCTTTGATGTACTGTGGTCTAGCTCCAGGCATTAGAGCTCTGATTTGTATCTTAAAGCAGCTATCTAAAAGATGGCTTTGAAGAAAGTATTAAAAAGGAACTCTTTTTAAAAATTATTTATTTATTTATTTTTATTATACTTTAAGTTCTGGGGTACACATGCAGAATGTGCAGGTTTGTTACATGGGTATACACGTGCCATGGTGATTTGCTGCACCCATCAACCCGTCATCTACATTAGGTATTTCTCCTAATGCTACCCCTCCTCTAGTCCCCCACCCCCCAACAGACCCCGGTGTGTAATGTGTCCCTCCCTGTGTCCTTATGTTCTTATTGTTCAACTCCCACTTATGAGTGAGAACATGCAATGTTTGGTTTTCTGTTCCTGTATTAGTCTGCTGAGGATGATGGTTTCCAGCTTCATCCATGTCCCTGTAAAGGACATGAACTCATCCTAAAAATAGGATGCTAGGTTAAAGAGGTACATGTTTCTATCAAGTCACACTTTCAGTAAAATAGCTTTTAAAAAGTTTATGCAAAAAAAAAGCCTAGAAGTTGATACAAAAACAATGTTCGTGAGGTTTCCTTCTCTAGATAGTAGAATCAAAGGAGATCAACATTTTTTCCTTTGTCCTTTGCTTCATTTTAAAGCTTGTAGAATGAATGCGTATGTGTGTCTATGTGTGTGTATATATGTATATAAATATACACACACATATTCATGTACATTGCCATTAGTTTTTAAAAGATTTTTGTAAAATTGTACTGATGGCCAAATTTTTGCTATTTCTCATAGGGACTGATGACACCTGGAAGAAATAAGTCACAGACATGCAGAATGCGATCATAGACTAGAAGCATTTGGGGAATAAGAAAGCATTAGAACGACAGAGCTAGAACAAATGCCGGGTCATCCCCCATCATTTAAGAAAGTGGGAAAGGTGATTTATATGGGACCACAGCACATCTAGATGAACATCCTGAGTGAAAAGAAACTGACATAAAGAACACAAAATAGTGACACCAGAGAAACGAGTACCAAGGGTGGGTACAAAAACATAAAAGGGCTTTTATATCTACTCAAGTTAAAACACCATTCATCCAACTCCCTGGTTGAATGTAGCCTATCACAAATGATTCTTTAATTCCCATTTGTCTGAGGCTTTACTTTACATGACCTATATTCTATTTTAAGGGTTTCTGAGCTTCACAAATGAGCACATGATTTTCCTCCTTCCCTTTCGACTGTCCCTTATTTCAATTACATAAATCACAATGGCTTACTTTTTCTTGGAAGAGGCTTTCTGATTTCCTCTTCTCTTTGCTCCTTCTAAATTCCCCGGATTCAGCGTTAAGCCTTTGACTCCTGTCCCTTCTCATGGATAGACATTCTCCTTTCTTCCTCCCAAAAGCATTCCTTTCCTCTTGGTAGATCCGTGAGTTCTTTCTGGCTGCCAGGATATGGGTCCTAGGCAGAGCCTGGGTGGGCATGTCCTCCCTGTGGCTACCGGAGTTTGGTAAATGAGCACAAAATTCGCAGGTCTGTGCAACTGTCCAACACCCACTTCTTTGAAAAGTGAATTGGAAGTCTAATGTTTCCTACCACATCACAGCAACTGGATGCCACAGGGGTAGCCTCTGTTCTGTTGCAGTGATATTCCTGAAACTTTGGAAGGGAATTCCATTTAATGTTGCTAGGACTGTGTGTGTGTGTGTCTGTGTGTCTCTGTGTGTGTGTGTGTGTGTGTGAGAGAGAGAGAGAGAGAGAGACAGATAGAGAGAGAGAGAAAGAGAATTCTAGCAAAGTAATGTGTCTATGAGGACCGGTAGATAATGCTACCCTAAATAACTTGGGCTTCCACTGGCTGGCTTTTGTTCATAAAATGCTAATCCTTTCAGGTGTAGACCTATATAAAACATTGGGGATTAAAGGTGCACAGAAGCCTCAATCTCTTCTGCTGCATAAGGTAAAGATATGTTTAACAATTCAAAATTATTCTGGGCTTACTAACAAGGAGTCATTTCCAATTCTTTATTAACTATGAACATGTGATGTAGATCATAGACGTGCTGAACTAATAACAGTCAGTAGACTATAGCAGTTCTTTTGCAGATGGCTTTTCAGAGCACAGCTGTCTTTGGGAAAAGTTAATTTATCACATCTACAGTGATGGAGAGGTCATCATTTCATTGCACAAGGAAAACTGTCCTTGGTATTTGACTGAAAATAGTTCTTTCCTTGCATGGAAAATGAAGATGCCTTAGATTGAATGTGCACGGTCCTATGGTGACAGGTTGAAATTCCGTATACAGCGTCACACTGTGTATTTCCTCTGTAACTTTGAAAACAATAACAACAGTTGATATCGCATGAGCAGGAGGCTTTGCATGGGCGACCCCTCTTAATTCCCACAACCATAGCATGAAGCAGGTGTCACCGTCATCTACGTGATTTACTTGGATTGTACATGGCACAGGCAGGAGTCAAAGGCAGGCAGGTTTCTCATCACAGTGCTGAGATGTCTACACTGCGGACCCTCCAGATACTTTCTAACAACCAGTCTGCTATTTTCTAGGGGGAACAATCCACTTCCTGCAGCTGTGAGAATGTTGGAAAGAAGGAGCAAGTGAACGCCTGCAAGAGAAACAAATCCTCCTGTGAAGCAGAGCCTGGTAGAGCATTCTTGGCTGGCTTGGTGAGCTGGAAAATTGGGGCAAGTAGTTGATTATGTGATTCTAGAGTCAATGAAAATGCCACATTACTTCCACCACAATCTCATTGCTTTGAAATCTGTTGTGCGGACACGTGTGGGGCACACAGCCTCCCCCAGGTGTAGACAGAATTACCCACATGGTGGGGCCCTGGCACTCTTTCTCATGTTTGTTCCCTGAGGGCAATTTCGTGCCTGCACGGCTGGATTTAGTGCTGGTCTTGGGTGAGCTAGTCAGTCGTGGCGTGGTTGGCATGTCCAGTTTCCACCCTCAGTTGGATGGAACCTCAATGTGATGGGCAACTCCTGTGTGTGAGGAATAAACCCAGGACAGTAAACACAGATGAGAACCATTTACATTTTGTAAAAGGGACTAGAAAATGTCACTGTGACGGTGTAGACTTCAGATACACAAAACATGACGAGAAATGTCAGGACAAAGCAGGCTTGGAAAAACAAGTCGGAACCAAGGCAACTTGGGCTGCGTCCTGCCTGCTGAGTAAGAATGGAGACTTGGGCTGGATGGCCCATCCTGGCTGTGACTCCTGGCATCATCCCTGGCCAGCTGTGCTTGGCCTTGTGCTGGTTTTTAATCTCTCTGAGCCTGAATTTCTCTCATCTGAGACAAGGCGTCATGCCAGTGTCTACCTTATAGGGTTTTTGTGAGGATTCAATGAATACTCATCAAGCCCTTCAAGAACTATGCGCAGCAACAATGTGAGAATTCCTCCAGCAATGTCAGGCATCGTATTTTAGGACCAATCAATGATCCCAATACCTAGGTCTCTTGTTCTGGACCAGGTACCATTTCCTGCGCTTTAATAATCACGTTCACTCTTTGTTTCTCACGGCAGCCTTGGGAGGTAGGCAGATATTATGATCGCCTTTTCGCTGATGAGGAAATGGGCCCTGAGGGACTGAGTGAGTTGCCCAGTGTTAGAGAGGGAGCCAAGTCGAGCTCCTGGCCCCGGTCCCAGTGCTTTCTACTGTCTTGCAATAGAGCCTCAGAGGAAAGCAGAGCAGCCTTGTGTTGGCTTCAAATCCCAGCTTCTAATCCATGATGTCATTAACCCCAGAATCCACACGTACCCCCAGTGGTATGCAAGTCTGGACAGATTTTATGATTCAATTCCAGAAGTTATTAGAGATACAGTATGGAGTTCCAGAACTTAGTGATGGGCTACAGTATTTGGAGTGGGGAGGAGGATGGCAAAGAATAACTTTTCAAAAGAACAAGAACTTGCTGTAGGCCCCTGAGCAACATAAAACTGGTTTTCAGGCCAAAGCTGCTGTTTTGGCATTTCTTCACGCACATAGGTTCAGTAATGCTGAATGGTTTCTCTGCATCTTGCTCTGCAAAGCCAGGATAACAGCTCCTTGGGTGACTGCTTTGCTCACTCAGGGAACTAAGCTGAAAAGCAGACGTTCTTTTCAGCTAAGATAAACTACACCTTTCGGAGCCCTTCGGGAATGTCTTGGGCTGAGCGACTCGGGCCTTGTCCAGCTTTTTCCTCTCAGCAGGCTCCAGCTATGGACATGTGTCTGAGCTCCGCGCAGCAGCCTGGGCGCCGGGGGGAAGGACTGAGCTCCCCGGGTGGCTGGTTAGAGGCTGAGAAGAAGGGGGCTTCGCAGAAAGACAGCACCGGGGGAGCCCTAGAAGGTAACCTCCTTCTTCACCACTTCAACAGTTGTCCTCAGTTGCTTTCCTGGCGATGACACATTCAAGTAAATTTCAGTGACAAGAATTTCCATTTCCTTTTAACACTAGATTTTTTTACTATAATGAAGCTTAGCAGAAAAGTGCTGTTTTGCAAGCATAAACATAATTCCTGTTTTTTCATTATTTACTTTTAAAAGTAATTCCTGTTTTTTCATTATTTACTTACCAAAGTTCACACATTTGTTTTTATTGCATGTATAGATTTAAGCTTGCTATATTTTTGTAACAAAAACTTAAAAGAAGAAAAAAAAATCTAGGTTCGTTTCTGCTTTTCCCCAAAATACATTCTTGGCAGCTTTGTCATATAGCGAATCTTTAGAAATCAAACTGTATTTTCCCATTAGGACAATGTAACAGTTTAGGGTTACATTTCTGGGCATGGATTCAGTTGTAAATAAATAATAGACATAACAAATAATATAATAAAAGCCAAGATGCAGCATTTACAGTGTTTATAATTAAAGGTGGTAAAAAATACATTCCAATTCTAATAAATGAGAATGTTGTCTATTTTTACTGAACTGTTTACATAAAAATGCAATTCTACCTTATCTGAAAATCTGATCTCTCTAAAACTATCAGAATAGCACAGATAGAATAAATGAAAATATTTCAGGTGTAATAAACATACATTTCTTTATTGTTGTAGAACCTCACAGGGTCTTATGAGAGAATACATGTATGTCTATATTTCCTTGCAATGTTGATTGGAAAAGTGTAGCTGTCAAGCTTAATATTTGTCAGTTTATTTACCTGTGAAATGATGAGCCATTCAAAATCAGCCTACTTACTCTTCCTAGTCTCTAGAGAAAAATAAGTCCCCAGATGGTGACATATGGGAGGAGGGACAGGCATGGCCTGGATGAGAGTGGGGCAGGGCAGGGAAGCGGCAGGGGCTGGTACAGGTCCCTGATACTCTGAGCCACCACCCAGCAGTGTGCTGGTGATGGCTTGTACTGGCACCTGAATTTCAGTAATTTTTTTGTAGCTGGTTGTTATATATAACCATCATTCAAATTTAAGTTAGAATCTTATTATTAAATAGATTATATTAAAGACAAAGGATATTAAAGACAAAGGTGTATTAAAAGCGAAGTTGATAAATACTCAAAAGTCATCATCAATTATTCTATTACCTCTTCCTAATATCTACGCTCTCGAGGGTAATCGTGTCTATGGTGCCTGCATGGTAGGAACACTACACAGTGGCGAGGTACTGCACGTCTTTCCCCAGCGACGTCATGCTGCTTCTCTGAAATCGGCATGGTGGGATTAATGGTTATTAAACATTAATCACCCTATTCTTCGGCCTTCTTCCTGCCTCTGAACCAGAATTCAGAGTCAGTCTCTCAGTTCTGTGTGGTAGGAGCTGGGATTCTGTTAGATGTCGGTGGCTTCCCAAAAGAGGTGGGGAGAGCTACAGGGCTCCCTCCTTTTTCTACAACCTCCCTACAGCCTCCTACCAGGGCAGGTGACAACAAAGGACAAGGTCTCAGGACTGAACTGGCTACCTTTATTAGAGGGGTCTTGCAAGTTCACTGAGGTCCCAGGTTTCTGGAAGCTCACCTTTTTTGTCGGGGCAGAGAATTCTCCTTCAAAGTGGTAGAACATACTAAATCAAAGTCCCAGGCGAAAACAACACTGTGAAGGGCCGAAGACACCCGTGATGCTAGTTTACAAATGAGTCACTTCATTCCCATTTTTTTCAGTGTGCTGCACACTGATACTTTTGTACTATACAACAAAAAACGAATTTCTAGATGAATTCAATGAAAATATAGAGAGACATAGAAAATACAAGCTCCACGTTTTGTTCGTGGATTCAACAGACATGGTCAAATGGTTGTGACTGTTTCTAAAGGCTCACTCCAAATCCCTCTACTTACTGTGGAGCTGTTACTGGCATTTGCAGAGCAGTGGCATGGAACTGTTCCAGTGTGTATGGAATGAGTGACACCTGAAACACCCAGAGGCCCTGCCCCTGACCTGAGGGATGCTCTGCTGACCAGGTTTCTCCCAAGACCCACTTCCCTTTGCCTCGTATTCACCTCCTTCTGCCTTCCACCTTGAGTGCCTATTTCAGATTAAAACACTTCCAATGTTCACCGGCTGCCTCCTCTACCTTTGTCCAAAGCCCGTATTTTACCTCCTGTTAAACGTTTTACAGTCATATCCCAGGCCACAAAGGCAGGTTTCGTGCAAACAAAACTGACCTTCCTCCCCGCCAGTCTCCGCACTGTTAATTCTTTCCCACCGCTGGGACCAACACCTTTTCCTCTGCTCCTGATCCTTCTTCTGCACACTTTGACTCACTGCTCTTTTTACTCCCAAACACTCTGGAAAACCTGCAAACACTTGTGATTCCTTGGTGTCGGCCCAATCAGGTGCTCTTTTCCTCTCATTTTATATGTCATTTGAGAGCTGCTAGCGTGGGTCATGGGTTTAAAGGAGTATTTAAAGCAATGTAACTTAATAGCCAGAGCTCAGTTGACATCCTCCCCCAGGGATGTGGGGCTGGCTGGGCTTGGGTGGCTTCTACCTTTTGAGCAGCAATTATAGGAAAGATTGAAGGAACACGCTCCAGCCAACATGTGGGAATGTTACTTCACTTCAAGACCTAAAAATAGGCAGGTCTGGCTGGGTGCGGTGGCTCATGCCTGTAATCCCAGCACTTTGGGAGGCCAGGGCATGTGGATCATGAGGTCAGGAGTTTAAGACTAGCCTGACCAACATGGTGAAACCCTGTCTCTACTAAAAATACAAAGATTAGCTGGGCGTGGTGGCACACACCTGTAATCCCAGTTACTCAGGAGGCTGAGGCAGGAGAATCGCTTGAACCCGAGAGGCGGAGGTTGTGGTGAGCTGAGATTGTGCCACTGCACTCCAGCCTGGGCAACAGAGACTCTGTCTCAAAAAGGGGGGAAAAAAGGCAGGTTTGTGTTTACCTAGCTCCTCTGTATCCAGACAGCTCATTTGTGCAATTTTGCTGGTAAATTCACCATTTTTCCATCAGCAAAACATATGGTGGGGACGGATCCACACCTCTTCTGTCCTCCCCTAAATAAAGAAAGGGCCCAGAGCATTCTTTGGCATTTTGTCATGTGATAAAAATGTCACATCCAAATTTCATGTCCCCGTCATCCCATATAATTCAATTTTGTGCCAATTTGCAGGCGTTCTCCTTGATAGCATCATCCCCTGTGTTTATGGAAAGGTCGCTCAATCTAATGCCATCTTACAGTTGTACCAAGTGTGTCTTTGCACTGGATTTTAACAAATCATGAACTCCAGTTTATTTTTCTACTTCACAGAATCCAACAGGATAGAACCATCTCTTCACAGCCTCCAGAAATTCGTTCCTACAGATTACGCCAGCTACACTCAGGAGCATTATCGGTTTGCAGGAAAGGAGATTGTCATCCAGGAATCCATAGAGAGTTACGGAGCGGTGGTGTGGCCAGGGGTGAGAGAAGTGTCACGTTTGTGATGTCAGGATTTCTGGAGATATCAATTCCGTACTTGCGAGTTGCCTTGGACAATTTGTGAAGTTCCTTCCTATCCTGTGCTTCTCAATTTGAGAAGCCCCTGGGGGGTGTTGGTGGTGGGCTTGGGATCAGCAAAAACAGTATTTCTTTCAGAAACACTGGTTTTACTTTAAGCTCTGTTTCTTGAAACATTATTTTTATATTAAATAAACTCAGTTATATGAGGAAGTGAATGCAAAACTTATATACATTGTTAAGAAAAAACCCAGAGATTTAGAGTTTAGATTTTGCAGTGGGCATCTCCGAGACATGCCCGTCGACCCTCAGACATTCATCTCTCTCTCTCTCTCTCTCTCTCTCTCTCTTTTTAAATTTTGAAACGGAGTCTCACTCTGTCACCCAGGCTGGAGTGCAGCGGCACGATCTCAGCTCACTGCAACCTCCACCTCCTGGGTTCACACAATTCTCTTGCCTCAGCCTCCCGAGCAGCTGGGACTATAGGTGCGTGCCACCACGCCCGGCTAATTTTTGTATTTTTAGTAGAGATAGAGTTTCACCATATTGGCCAAGCTGGTCTCCAACTCCTGACTTCAAGTGATCCGCCCACCTTGGCCTCCCAAAGTGCTGGGATTACAAGTGTGAGCTACTGCGCCCGGTCGCCAGCCATTCATCTCTTTTCCATGGGGGCTGTGTCGGTAGGGACGTTTGGAAGCATGACTTTGCGGCATGTTACCCCTGTCACAGCCCTGAGAGGATGGCGCTGAAATGAGGGCAGTCCTCTGGATTTTGAGTCAGAAAAGCTGCCATTTCCAGGCTGGGTGGTCACAAATGTTCACTTCATCTCCATTTGCCTTCATTTCCATGTTTAAAACCTAGGGTGGTGGTAATGTCTACAGCACTCCTGACGTGGTTGTCAGAATTGTGAGAATTAATTTCAGGTTGTGAGATTAAATGAAGTCCTAGTGTAAACTCAAATGAGCTGTCCTCATTAAAGTAATATTCTTGCCACCTTCAGCTGAGGAAATGGGGATGCAGGCCCGTCTGCTGGTGTGGTAAAGCTCCCCACTGGGGTGCAGGGCAGAGCCAAGTTGGGCAGTGGCCCTCGGAGCCAGCGCTGTCGCTTTTCCCACTGCAGACGTTGTCAGTGCTTAGAAAGGCTCCAGATCAGAATTTCTCAATCTGCAGTCTTGTTAAAATGCAGATTCTAATTCAGGAGTTCCGGGGTGGGGCGTATTTCTTACACATTGCCAGGTGATGCGTATCTGCTGGGCCAGGGCTGCCACACTGAGTAGTCCTGGTTAGTGGTCCCATAGGGCTCCCTCAGGTTATCTGGTGATGACACAGGATGGGGAGAAGGGTAGCCAAAGGGTTCCAGGCTCTTAGGGTGTCGACTTTCACTCACTCCCAAACAGGGAGCTCTATTTTTACACCTTATGCATATAATTTCCTTCAACCAAAGGCTTTTCTTTGCCTTAAAAACAAGTTTGAAAATCATCAAACTACTCACAGCTTCCTATTGTAACACATTTGGCAAATAGACGACAGCAGTGGTGTAGCGAAAAAGTGGTGTAGTAAGAGATCAGAGGCCGGGCATGTGGCTTACACCGTAATCCCAGCACTTGGGGAAGCCGAGGCAAGAGGATTGCTTGAGCTCAGGAGTTTAAGCCCAGCCTGGGCAACATAGTGAGACCCCATCTCTCTTTTTAAAAAAATAATAAAAACGAAGAGATCAGAAATTGAAAAAAGAATATTTGTCCACCTGACTGTTTTATTCTGAACAAGGTATCATTCATGCACCAAACACTAGCCTCTCACGAAACCTGTTCCCTGAAAGCTGCATAAGAAGGGTATCTAGAGTGGGATGGCACCCTTTTCCTGTGCGACTTCAGGTGCAACTCTGTGAAAAGATCCCTTCGGAGTTTGCTAACAGGACTGGGGCTGGGGGGAATGTTTACAATGTCAAAAGACATAGCTGTTCCCGAGAAAAGCTTGGTCTCCAGATGACACCCTGGGGTCAGCCCCTCACAGAGCAGGGCACCAGGAAGGATGCCTGCAGCCATCTCCAGGAAGTTTCTCAGAGCTGCCCTCTGAATGGCTCCAGGTGACACTCTCTTCCTGATATTGACCTCCTCCCCCCCAGCCCCCACTGCAAATACTACTCTTCTTTCCTTAAGGACCAAAGAACTCCTTTCTTTAAAACTTCCCTTCTAGACTCTGGAGCTCCTTGCAGTGTGCTGCGGTTGGTGCTGTTTATGTCACACCCATGTTGCTATTTCACCCACCACCCTGGCCTTCCACACCAGCTGGCTTCTCCCTGGCCCCTTGAAGTTGGCCCTGACTCCTCGGCAGCTCTGTGGTGATCCCTCTCCCCTCAACCTGCTGTACGCTTCCTCTACAGCACTTACCTCCCCAGAATGCAGTTTGTAATTGGCTGACATGGCCCCCAAGCCCCACTACTGAGTTCCCAGACAGTAGAGATGACTGCGTCATATTCATCTTTGCTTGTAGCAGTTCAATATGAACAGATGAAGATGAAATGGAGTGACACACAGGATCCGGTTGGCTACTAAACCTACCACTGGTAATCCTCAGAGTGACACATCTCAAATCATCCTGGTTGCCCCCACTCCAAACTGGGCCCCAAATAGAAAGTAGAGTCCAGAGGAAGATGGGGGCATATCATTAGCTAGGGCCTAAATGTGTAAGTAAATCATAGAGTTCATTATTTTTTTAAATCTCAGTGTTCACATTCCTCACTCTAGGTTATTTATACTCAAATTTAAGTAACTTTGTCATTTCTTCTCATAACTCTTCCTAATCTCTCCAATCCAGGGCACTGCTGGTTGATTCCTCATGGCCATAAATGTAAACACCTCAGCAATCAATGCAAATCAAATACCCTTTACTCTTTGTGGAAAGGTTAGAGGAAGGTGGAGGCAGAAGAGAATGAATAAAGAAGAAAGGGATGTTAGATTTCCTGTATAAAAAACTAACAATATTTAGTTATATATTGTTATATATATAACTAAATGTTGATATATAAAACATTTTATATGTATTATATATAAAATTTAGTTATATATTGTTATATATATAAATGTTGATATATAAAACATTTTACATTATATATAAAATTTAGTTATATATTGTTATATATACAACTAAATGTTATTTATATATTATATATAAAATTTAGTTACACATTGATATATAACTAAATGTTGATATAGAAAACATTTTATATATATTATACATAAGATTGTTATATATTTTTATATATATAACTAAATGTTGATATATAAAACATTTTATATATATTATATATAAAATTTATATATTATATATAACTAAACACTGATATATAAAACATTTTATGTATTATATATAAAATTTAGTTATATATTGTTATATATATAACTGTTGATATATAAAACATTTTATACTATATATAAAACTTATATATTGTTATGTATATAACCACATGTTGATACATAAAACATTTTTAAAAATCTCCTTGCCACTACTCAAAGTGGGTCCATGGGCCAGCAGATGAGCATCATGTCAGGGCTTGTTTAGAAGTGCAGGATCTTGAGTCTCACTCTCGACCTACTGAATGAGGATATGCATCTTTAACAAGCTATCCAGGGGATCTTTTTGCACACTGAAGTCTGAGAAGCAATTTCTGAACAGTCTGTTTCTTAGAAGAACCACTTTTTAAAAAGTCACTAACCCATTGTTCAGTATGGCAAAGCGCTAGCCAACCTGAATTTTGGTAAAGGAGTCAGGAAAGAGGTGTTCAAGTTTATAAAATGACATTTTAAAAAAATTATTTCTATAATTTAAAAAACTGTCTTACAAGAAAGAATTCTAACATAAAACAACATTCTTAAAGCAGCTGGAGACCCATGATTAAACCAGTGGAAGAAGTTGCTGTTTTTTCAGCCCAACGTTGCCCTGATTTCAAAGAGCTAAGCTGATCTACTATTCTTCCTATGCTTTGGAGATTGAGCAAATCTGATGGAGGCAATTTTAACAAATCTGTTTCCCCAGTTCCTTAGATGCAATTTATTATAACTTCTTTATTTCAGAGGTCTATATATGGCATTGAGTGTACATTTGGGTTCTGATGAATATAAACTGAACATATGTAATAACATGTCTTTTAGTATTTAAATTTGGGTGCCAGAAAGGGTTGCTACTGACTTCCAACGTTCCAATGCCCACATGAAAAGTTATAATTATTTTTCAGGCTATGGCTTTGTGTCAGTATTTGGAGGAACATGCCGAGGAACTGAATTTCCAAGATGCAAAAATACTTGAAATTGGTGCTGGACCAGGCCTTGTTTCCATTGTGGCCAGTATTTTAGGTTTGTTTATTCCTGACCTTTACTGTAACAATAGCAAGTGCTTACTCTATGACAGGCTGTGGTTTAGGTGCCTGGCCCTGACTTCACTCAGTGACTCTCCCAAAAATCTCATGCAGCAGGAATTACTGCTGTTATCCACAGAGATAACTGAGTCTCAGAGAGGTTAATCAACTCCAATCAACCAGTTTCCATGGGACGAAGTTGAGTCCAGAGGCATGACTCAGTCTCTGTTGTCAATCTCGGGGGCGGGGTGAGGTGGGGGAGCTACTGACCTCAGGTGGTTGGAGGCCAGGGAGGCTGCTCACCATCTTACAGTGCACAGGACAAGACCACCCACAAGGAAGAATTAGCCAGCCCACATTAGGTCAAACATGTCCAGCCCACCCACCAACAGAGCCAAGGCTAAGGAATCCAGTTGTTTCTTGCGTCTCTCCCTGTGTCTATGTACACTGTGGTTGCCCAGATGTTTCCAGGTCATTGTTGCAATTTTTCTTTCTCTCTTAGGAGCTCAAGTCACAGCAACAGATTTGCCTGATGTCCTGGGAAACCTTCAATACAATCTTTTAAAAAACACACTACGATGCACAGCACATCTGCCTGAAGTGAAAGAACTGGTATGGGGTGAAGACCTGGACAAAAACTTTCCCAAGTCAGCTTTTTACTATGATTATGTCCTAGCCTCGGACGTGGTCTACCATCACTACTTCCTGGACAAGCTGCTCACCACCATGGTGTACCTTTCTCAGCCAGGGACGGTGCTGCTTTGGGCAAACAAGTTCAGATTCAGCACTGACTATGAATTTTTAGATAAATTCAAGCAAGTTTTTGACACAACACTGTTGGCTGAATATCCAGAGTCATCAGTCAAACTTTTTAAGGGGATACTAAAATGGGACTAAATCCAACAAAATGCCTTTCACAACGTTAGTGTGTCTTTCGAGCGATGTGTTAGAAATTGCTTTGTTAATAAAGACTTCTTTTATAGGATTGAGAAGGTAGTGCATACAAACAACTTGTATACTTGGAACTAATGTAACAATACTGCAGAAACTTTCTAAGATAAGATTATCTGGTTAATCTAAATATCTAAAAAGAAAAACTATAAAAACATGAAAAGTAGCTTTGTTGGTTCCAACGAAGTTACATGTTTAATAAATCTTATATGGATAAATTAATAAGTGAATTTCTTCCCTATTTCTGCTATAGAGCATATGTTTAAACTTGTCAATATACTGCTGTCACATGCTTTTTGAAACTGGGCTTGACAGAGTCACTATATCTTAGTTTGAAGACTCTACTTTTGCAGATTTTTAACTGCAGCAAAAAGAGGATATTGAATGATAGAAAACAGTTAATAGGCTTACAGTTGATTAAAAGTGAAAAATAAAACTGCTGGAATAAGAACAATGTTGTCTTAAGAACTTCTTAATTTACAAAGACTCTCCCTCCGTGTCCATTATCTTAATAATTTCCAGTTAATTTCTATATTGTCTGCTTTTTTCACAGTAAGTATTTTAGGCTCTCCGGTCACATACTGTTCTACATCGTCATCTGATCTATATATATATACATAAAAAATATATTAGGCAGGTGCGCGGGGCTAAGCCTGTAATTTCCCAGCACTTTTGGGAGGCGAGACGGGCGGATCATGAAAGGTCAGGACATCAAGAACATCCTGGCTTAACACGGTGAAAACCCCGTCCCTCTACTAAATAAAATCAAAACAGTACCGGGCCGAGGTGCGGGCGCCTGTGGTCCAGCTTAACTCGTGAAGCTGAGGGAGCGAGAATGGCGTAAACCCTGGAGGCGGAGCCCTTGCAAGTGAGCCGATGATCCGGTCACTGCACCTCCAGCCCCGGACGACAGAGCGAGACTCCATCTCAAAAACAAAAACAAAACAATACAAATATATAATATATATAAAATATATATTTATTTATATATAATAGTATATTATATATATTTGCTTTTACAACCATTTACGAAAAGGTAAGAACCTTCTTAGCCTGTACAAAGAGGCAAGTTAGATTTGGTTCACAGCTCAGAGTTTACCAACCCCTGGAACTGCAGGCAATCCACAGTGAAATTATTAGAATTTGTAAGAGTTTAGGCAAGGTTGCCAAATGTCAATAGTGAAAGCTCAACCTTATTTGTAAATTCTAACTACAGATAGTTAGAAAATGAAATTTAAATAAAGATACCACTTACAATTGCAATACTGAAGACTGAGGAATCAGTCTAACAAAAGATGGGCAAGAAGTTGATGCAAATGTATCTAGCATTATCGAGACAAATTAAGACTAACATAGGTAAGTGGGGAGACATCAAGTTTATGCATTGGAAGACACTGTAAATATGTCAGTTTTCTCCAAATTGATCAACAGCTTATGTGAAATCATTGTAAAAATCCCAATATACTTTCCTGTGGAATTTGTCAAGCTAAGTCTAAAATCATGTGAAAATAAAAAGGCCAAGAAGAATCAAGGCGCTCCTGAAGAACCTGGTGGGAAGATCCACTTCATAAGAAGTAGTACTTTAAAGAGGCAATAATTGAGACAGCAATTAGTATGATTTGCTAATATTAATACATATGGGTATTTCTTAAAGTGATCTTTAAATCTGCCTGTAAAACAAGAAGTATCTGTAAGTTTAAGGAACAAATGGGCATTCTAGCCATAATTCCAAAGATTTAATTGTCTCTATTTTCTCCTTTATTGATATTGCCTTCTGAGAATGAGTCTCTAAGGTAAATTTCGTGATGTTTTTAAACACTCTTCAATTTTTCTTGATGGTGATTAAGGTTTCTTCTTTTAAAATAAACAATAGCTGATTCATCAACAGCAAAATCTACCTGATACAAACCTGTTTCCAAGATTTTAAGACTAATTGTTTTTTAAAAAGGAAATCATGCTTCCCCCTACTCCCACATATATATAAGCGTGTGTGTGTGTGTGTGTGTGTGTGTATATATATACATATATATGGTGCTAAAGAAGTTGCCTTTCTCTCAAGCAAAAGGGAAGGAAAATGAACATTCCTTTTGCAATGTCCTTTAGGATACAGAACTTATAAGATCAGAACCCCCAAAGCAGAAGATAAGTTGTAGGAAGAGGCAGTGTGTCTTCTACATTTGGATACTACGTGAAAAGCACAGGGTGTCTGCCTGGTGACTTCCAATTATTCCACCCAATTTTACTTGGAGCTGCTTCTCTGTCTCGTGTGAGCAAGGCCAGGAAAGTCACTCAATCTGGAAAACGTTGATTTGTTAGTATGAAGCCCAGTAAGCAAGTCAGTTGATTTCAGCTTAAAAATAGATGTATACATCAATGGAACAGAGTCCAGAAACAGACTCACACATATATGGCTAACTGATATGTGACAAAGATGCCAAGGTAATTCAATGGGAAATTATAGCCTTTTAAATTAGTGATGTTTGAACAAATTGTACACACACACACACACACACACACACACACACAACCTTGACCCTTCTCTCATACTATACACGAACATTAAATTGAAATGGATCACAGACCTAAATATAAGAACTAAAGCTATAACAACTGTAAAACTTCTATAAGGCAACATAGGGTAAAACCTTTGTTACCTTAAGTTAGACAAAGATATCTTAGATGTGATACCAAAAATACAACTTGTAAATGAAAAAAATGCTGAGTTGGTTCTTATGAAAATTAAAAAGTTTTGCTCTTCAAAAGACTATTACACACACTGGGCCAGGTGCGGTGGCATGTGCCTGTAGTATCAGCTCCTCAGAAGGCCGAGGCGGGAGGATCACTTGAATCCAGGAATCTAGCTTGGGCAACATAGCAAGAAACACACTGGGAGAAAATATTTGCATCACACACATCTAAAAAACAGCTTGTATCCAAACTCTCACAACTCAAGACAGACAATCCAACAACTGAAAAAATGGGCAAAATATCGGAATAGAAACTTCATCAAAGAAGATATACAAATGTCTAGTAAGTTCATTATTTACTGGAGAAATGCAAATTAAAATGAGATACTGTATCACAACCAGTAGAATGGCCAAAGTTAAAAGGTGACATCATCAAGTGCTGATGAGGATGTATGAAGCTTGCAACTCTCACACATTGCTAGTAGGAATGTCAAATGGTACAGTCATTTTGAAAATGGTCTGCTAGTTTCTTACAATATAAAAAGAAATATACCATGTCTCAGCAATTTCATTCCTAGATTATCTATACAACATTACTTGAAAAGATATGCCCAAAGACTTGTAAACAAACTTTCACAGCAGCATTATTCCTAATAGCCTCAAATATAAACAATCCAAACATCCATCAACTGGTGAAGGAACAAAATGTGGTACATCACACAACACAGTATACACAGCAGCAACACGGAATGAACAGATACACCCAAAGTGGCTGAAACTCAAGAACATTACACTAGGCAAAAGAAGACACAAAAAATTAAAAACTGTGATTCCACGTATATGAAATTTCCAGAAAAACTATAGGATTAGCAGTTCACCGGCTGTCTGGGGCTAGGGGTGAGAATGGAGACTGGCTACAAACGAGCTTGAGGGAGTTCTTTCAGAGGATTCGGAAGTGCTAAAAACCCAGACTGTGCTGATGGCTGCATTCTAGACATTAAACTGCACACTTGAAATGGTTAAAGTTTATCATACGTACATTACACTTCAAAAAAGCTGTTAAAAACCCCATGGTTTGTCCCAAATGTTATGCAAATTTTCTTTCAAATCCTAGATCTTTCAAATACACAATGTAGAGGAATCTACTAAGAAAATTAAAGCAATGAAACTCGTTCCTTTAAATCTCTTAAACTTTTCACATTTCCAGGGCAAAGGAATATGATCATATGCTTATTTTGTAAATCAAGTGTCCTTTTAGAATGGCTGAATTGATTAGTTATCTTTTTCTTTACATTATTACAGAAGATAAATAGATGAAAGTAGACAAACTGTATATTTTAAATACGTGCAGTTTATTATATGGCAACTATAGCTCAATATTCTGCTAAATAAGTGTATTTCAATTCATGGAAAACCGTGGTTAATCTAAACCATTACTTTCTCTGCTCTCATATTAATTTGAATCAAATCAGACAAATCATTCCTTTTGTAAATTCAGCTTGTATCTATACAAGATACATAATAACAATACTATCACATCTAAAATTTTATATTAATACATTAAAATATGCAGTGTTCAAATTTCCAATTGTCTCATAAGTGTCATTACATTTATTTTTAGTTTCAATCAGAACCCAACCAGGTCCAAATTTGGTTATTTAATTATGTCTCTTAAATCTGATCCTCCCTTCATCTTGCTTTTTTTTTTTTTGTAGAATTTCATACTACTGCATTATGCAGACTGCATCATTAGTGTCATTTAACTTGTTCCTCAATCCTCTGTTGTTTCTGTAAATTTTACATCTTAATGACTCAGGCTTGAAACCATCTAGCCTAAGCCCAACTTAGATCTGCCAAATTCCAGGCAAGTAACACTTACTAGTGAAAATAAATTATTGTAGACAGCTGAGTTTTGAGGTAGCTTAACTTTTAAAACCACACATAAACTGAAATTACAAAATATATTTTCAGTTGCTTTGTATTCTATTTGCATTTTGGGTAAGATCTGGCCGATTCTAGAGTGAATTTGTTTGACTGAGTAAGCAGGCAACCCTAGCTGCACAGTGAAAACCTGACAGCTGGCACTGACACTGGACCTGTAGTTATACATGTTTGTCCTTCGAGAGGACTCGGCTTGAATTCATTACATACTTGCCTGATGTTTGACATCCTCTCACAAATCAGGGGTTCTAAATGAAACTAAAACAGTACATTTGCAGAACTGAGTGCAGAGATATTTTGCAGCAAAGTGCTGGCAGGTAGGGCACCATCACATCCTGACCTGGCTCTCGGTACCAGGAGGGCAGGTGGAAATTCTGCTGATTGGGATGCCCAAGAACCCTTCATGTTAGAGCATCACTTACATCTTCCTCTTCTGGTTTTCAGGATTTTACTTAGTCAGCTACCCTTTCTCAGTTTACCACCCATGACTACCGATAAATTTTTCTCCCCTTGGTTTACTATGTTAACACAGACTCAGGCTCATGAAGTTCAGTTTCTCACTTTTTCATTCCTCAGAAAATTCTCTCCATTCAAGGTTTTCTCCCCTTCCCCTTTTGGGGACACAGCAAGGATCCCTCTTACCTATCTCCCTATGAAGGCTTCTCTGACTGAGATCCTAAAGGGAAAGACAAAGACACATGTATTCTGAATGCTGGGTTGTTGGGAGGACAGAGAAGGAAACACAGTGGAGGCAAAGACTCAGTTAATTCAAATGAAATAATTTTCTAGTTGGAACAGTCACATTGATTCAACACCATGATTTTCTTAAGGAGATTCATGAGGGTCAAGTGATTTGGCTTGTCAGTACTTGAGCCAGGATGAGACAGCAGAGACCCAGGCTGTGGCTTCCAGTCATCCAGTCCCTGCACATTTCATTAGAGCTGGGGGTGGAGAAACGGTTTGAGATTTGTGGTGCCTAAGAGGAGGAGCAGGTGGGGCTCTTCTGGGGTAAAGAGAAGTTCTCCCAGGAAGCAGGTTAACATGAGGAAGGAAAGAAATCCCATGAGATGGCAAAACTCCTCCCAGTAACAATTGGGAACTGCCTCTTCTTATTGGAAAGGGGCCACAGAACTAGTATTGGGCACATACTATGTACTGTCTCTAATGGTTCTTTAAAATGTTATTTTTACCTAGTTTTTTCAATTGTTTTCAGTGGGTGTGCGCAAACATTGGCTACTATGACCAGAAACAGGAAAACTGCTTGACTTTTTGAAGTACCATCCTACTGCTTGTATTATTTTTAATGTAATCACATAGAAACAGTAATGATTTTACTGAGGACATCTTCTGGAGCTTACTTGGGTCCACTTGTCACCACAGAAATGCAGAATGATCCAGACAGGAAACAGGAGCTAACATGGCAGCTTTGTATAACTGCCTCCAGTTACAGGAGTCATAAATGAATAGGCATGGCTCTGTTTCAATACAACTTTATTTACAAAAACAGGCAGCAGTCCAGTTTGGGTTAAAGGGCCAAACGTTACTGATTCCTGCTGTATGTACTACTTACCTGAAATAGCAAAACCTGGGTTGTAAAGCAAGGTCTGTAATTTAATTTCCAACAGGTGATCAGCAGTATAACCTTGGGAAGTCATCCTACCTTTACTGAGCTTCTCCATTCTCTTACTGGACTAGACCTATACAAATGGGGACCTGTATGTCTGTGCAGGTGACAGTCTGAGTGTGTGAGAGAGAACATGCATGTAGCTGTTCATGGATGGACTTCAGACCCTACATAGCCCAGAAGTTGTAAACAATATGCTTATACATGTATTTATGTTTCTCATAAAGGCTCTAACACTTTCATGAGATACAGCAAAAACAGGAATGACTAGATAGGATTACTGGTAGGCCTTTTGCAGCAGTAAATTTTAAGAGAACAAGATAAAAAAATACATACACACAATTTGCCATTAGATAAGGGATCATAAACTTAATACTACTTGTGTCTGTTTATTTGGTGGAGGAATGACGAGAGATGCACATGTAGTAGCCAAAGATAAAAATAATAAAAAAGTTAATCACACAAGAATTGGAAATATATTCAAATAATTGTAAGCCTATAAGAAACACTGTAAAATAGATTACCTTATGTTTAATTTTTTGTCTATGTATTTAATGTATTATTTGTTACAACCCCAAATTTTATTTATGAAAAATTAAGACCAACTTTAAGAAGCTTCAATATTCACTTTTATTATTTATAAAAAAAAAAATTAAGGTACCAGAGTGCATATGGTGTACTGTGATCTTGGTTTTGCAAATTTATTCAAGTGTTTTACATTATTTCAATTTTAATAAACATATCATATGTGTATCTTTACAATACCTGATAAAGATTCAGCTGTCTGGCACTTACACATGTATTCATAGAGTTCATTCTGATGCTCTGAACTTCTAGAGGATGTGAAAATGACTTGCCTATAATTACCCCAAGATGAAGCAATTGCCACTCATTTGTGCTGGTTCTATTTTTTCCCCTTAACTGAATGTAAACATTTGCCAAAAAGAAAAAAAAAAAAAATCTGGAAATGAAGTTCTGTTAATTTTTAGTCCAATAAATAATTTTAGCTACGCTTAATGTAGCTTTTTTAAGGCCTTCATACAATTGAAAAAAATTAAAGTTGAGCATGTTAAAACCCTGTTCATTTATAAAATAAAAAATAGAACTTTACAGGTTTGCAGTTAAAAGTTACCCTCCAAAACCTATCATGCATGTCATAAGCTGCAACCCAACTCGAAGTCCTCTGTGCTGGCAGGCAGGGCACATCCCTGTGCCAGCAATGTGAGGCATTAAGAAAACATCATGATGTCAGAGGTCTAGATTTACATGTATTAAGCCACACGTCAGTGAATTCTCTGATAAATACACGTCATTTTAATAATCAGTATTGGATAGTGGATGAAAACATGCATTAGACTAAAAATGCCACAAATTTGTTTTTATATCCATTCACTATAAAACTTCCTTTTTTAAAATTTAAAGTCTTGTTTCCTATTTTAGAATACGCAATAATCGGGAGGATACATGATGGGGAGCCAGTTTTCAGTAAAAGATGCACAATGGGTCCATCCAAGTAACTTCATCAGCTACAACAAAATACAATAATATATTATTATAAAGGAAGTGACAGATTTTTAAGCTCAGTATTTAGAATAAATTCTGTATTAAATATTTAGTAACAGTAAGGTAGTAGCATACAGAATCTTCCTTGCACCAACCGTCACACACCCCCTGATCTTTCTTCCCACCAACCAACTTTTCTTACTGTCAACCAGCTTTCCTACCAACCAACCTATTCTTCTCATCATTATCTCTACCAACTGTCCTTCTCCCTCTTTCCTATTAACCTGTCTTCCCTTCTTCCTTCCAACTTATTTGGTCCTTTCCTTCCTACCAACCTAACTTCCTTTCATTCATTTTTTTCTGAGTAACTATCGTGTCAAACACTGGGAAAACAGCATGGAACAAATTCACCTCCTACTTTCAGGAAAAACAAATAAGCAAATTAACAAATGAATAAACAAGTAGTAAGATATTTATCAGGTGTACAGTAGACATAATATTTGATACAATATAAACTGGGGAGTTAGATGGTTAAGAAAGAATCTCTATGGAGGTGACACTTAAGTGGTGTTTGGTGTTTGAATGACAAGAAGAAATTTGTGTGAAAATCTGGGAAAGACATTCCATCTAGCCGGAGTAGTTAGTGCTGAGGTCCTTTGGTAGGAAAAGGTGTGGCTGTTTCTGCTAAGCAGAGATGCTGGTGTGGCAGAAGCAGAGTTTATATGGGCAAGTGTGATATGAAATAAGTCTGGAGAGGTAGGTAGGGGCCTTATGGACCACAGGGGAGAGTTTGGATTTTATTCCAAATGTGATGGAGATTCAACAGCAGGTGTCAAAAGACATCTTTTCCAGCTGCGGTGTGGAGAACAGGCAGCGGGAGCGGGGCAGAGTGGAGGGCACACAAGTTAAGAAACACTCCCTGATGTGAACGTCGGCAGGGATCACCGGCTTTACAAACCTAAGTGCTCACGGATCCGATTCCACATGATGAGAACCACATTAGACATATCAACACCTGGCTCCAGAAAGAGTTCTCTCAATCTAGTCAAAGATCTGGAGGAGCTCATTTAAAATGTCCTGCAATTTGGACTGACTGGTGAAGGTAAACAAAAAGCTCTAAGAGTAAATATGAATATATCTTACTCTAATTATCAAACATTTTCAGAGGAACCTACTGGTCAGTTTTACATCCAAAGCGTACCTTACATATAAAGTATAATTAACCTGGACTTGCCCTTTAGCTGAATCTGCTACCACCAAACTCCCCTGCCTTAACGTATCCTTTAGGCATAAACCAATTATGCATGTACAAAGACAAGGTCAGACTAAACTGACTTCTGTAGAATTCAGCTAATTTTTTTTACTTGACAACTAACTTGTGCAGAAAGTTCAACTATAGAATTTCTCTGCACATAATATGATACATGGTAAAATAATTTTAAAAATGCCTACCATCTCAAATGAAGAATAAAATCAAATATAAACTCCAGAAGTTCAACCATTTTAGAGTTGAGGCAACGTGCATTTAAAAGGAATTGTTTCCTTCATAAAGAAAAACTGGCTTCTACTTTTACAAAATTCAAAATGCATTTGCCCTTGCTGAAAACATTTGAGGCTAGTATCAGTTTTTCGGATAGCAGTGAAAAGTGTTTTTAAAATTTAAATAGCTTATTGACTGTCTCTCATGTATTTATTCTATAGTTCACATTATGCTAATTAGTGTAATAACTGGTCACAATAAAACCATGATTTCTATATCACAATCCTAATCCTTTCTAGTTATCTTGTCACTATGCAATATCAAAGTGATGCTTAACAGTGACATTTTAAGTATCACTTACTTGAATACAATTTTTCCAGTTTTCTTTTGTTGGTTTTTCTTCCACAAGTTTAGTTGCAAATTTAAGGCCTCTCCCATACATTTTATTTACTAATGCATGTTTATATGCAAATGTCAAAACCTACAATGTAAAACATGATAAAGCTTGTTTATAAAATAATTTACATTTTAAGGCATTAGTTTTAACAATAAAATTAAGGCTTTAACAGAAGTGTAGCTTTTGAAATGAGTATGGTATATCGAGTACATTTTTAAACACTTGTAAAAAGATAATTAGTGTCTTCAAAAGAGCTGAGTATTCCACAGAATGAATCATTTGTTTTTTAGGAAGAAAACTAATACGAGAAATTATTAGCTGTGGAAATCCACTTAAAAATACCTTTTCATGCATAAGAAACCAGAGCTAACATAAATAATTACAAAGACGCAAATCAGGATAGAAATACAAAATGCAGAGTCAGTATAAACTGCCAAAATTCCAAATGAGGATAGAAGTCAAAAAACAAGTATTAGATTATATAAGCATGGATTCTTTGGTACAAGTTTTTACCTGTAATTATTGCATCTGTCAAATATACTTATAATCATTTATATATATTTTTGGTCTCTACTGTGGAATGTGGAGAATATACTCAAAGAAAATCCTATGACACTGATTTGTATTCTAAAGTATTTAACAATCGTTGCCATAAACACAGTAAACAGGTAATAGAATGCATGACCCCTAATATAGTAGTAGTATTGCAAAAATAGAATGATCTAAAACAATTTTATTATGATGTTCATCAAGTGTTTGTCAATCTCTGTTAGATTCTTCAAAGACAAAAACCAGGTTCTTATTCATCTTTATGCTTCCAGTGGTAAGCAGTGTTTGGCACATAGCAGGCCTTCAATAACTGTTCCCTTGTTTGTTCGCAGTAACAGCAAATATTGTTGGGGACACTGCATGTACTTGACACTCACTCATCACAGCCTAAGGCAGGTCATGCAGATAAGAAACTAAGGTATCACAATTTAGTAAGTTGCCTAAGGTCACATATAAAAGTGGTAGAGACAGGAGCCAAACTCAAGGGGTTTAATTTCAGATTCAAATTCCTGACCTCTGCTGCAATACTGGCTCTTTCAGTTTCCCAAGTATAACTGAGTACCTTCTATAAATGCACAACCGTACTGTGCTGGAAAAATCTGAAGCATATAAGAATTTTCTTCCCACTTCCAGGGTCCTTTACTGCAAATTACCAGTTAATTCTGAGAACAAGCATCTGTCTACTAAAACAAAACGATGGTCTGTGATAAGTGAAGGGAATCCTACTGACTCCATTTACTTTATTTTCTTTATTTTCACAGGAAAAGAAGATTAATGACTTGTATAATCTCTATTGCAAGAATTATAGTAGAGACCTAAAAGAAATTAACAATGTTTTTGTAACCAAAATTCAAAAAAGTTCATCAACAATGCTTTTCCGAATTGGGTTTTAAAACTGATTAGCTACAAATCAAGATGATAATTATTTAGAAGTTCAAGAGTTTTGAGGAAAATAAGTAACATCTAAACTAACCAGTATGCCCCCTCAACCTGCCCCCAATCTCCTACCACCAACAAATTAGCATATAAATAGAGAAGGGTAGGCCTGAAGGCATTTTCTAGAAGACTTTCTTAATTTAGCTACATACATAACTGGTTTAACTAAAAGCCTACTACATATATTCTCAAACTTTTTAAAATTATCATGGTTTAACAGCCAGTTTGCAGGCCCATAAAATAATGTTTTTTTTAAAAAGGTGAGACAAACACGAAGTACTATGCTAAACATGTCATATTCAGAGCCCAGCTTAACTCTTTCCATTTACCTCCTTCCTCTTGTAACCAGCAATGCGGCACAGAGAGGTCTGTGAAGTAACCCCGAGAACTTTGCCAAAACAAGAAGCAGAAAGGTTACCTTATTGTCAAAAAGATCAGTCCATTTAGTAGTTTCCCAAAATGTTTCTGCCAGAGAATCCAAAGGACTTTCTCCTTCTTCCTCCTTTCCTTCTGCATCAGTGGAAATGGCTCCATCTTGAGCCTGGGTGTGAAGAAGATGGTCTGCCAGGGCACAACCTTTCCTACAAAGGGCATCTACGAGGGTGGATTTTTGTTTGTCCATGTCACTGTACAGCAAATTAAAAAATATTTCAGATATCAGTAAACTGTCTTTAAAACTAAATTCTTATCTGAACTTAAATTCATGTATTCTTTTGCTTAAGATTTATAATGCAGAAATACTGTATATCCAGGTACATATGCTTGTATTGTACATCAAATAAGATGCCTTATTAATAAACATCAAATGAGCTACTATATTACACATATAGATTAAACAAGTTAGGGTAGCTGCACTTTGTTGAAACAGAATGCCAGAAGCAACAGAGTTGAAAGGTTAATCACTATTCTAAATTCTTTTAGCTATATAACTCTTAATGAGGTCAATGTCTTCTGAGTTTTCAGATTTCTTATAGACAGCAATCATTACATATTTGTCTATGTGTATACACAGAGGTCATGTCTTAAAACTTTCAGTTCATGACTAGGACAACCAAATATAATGCTTTACTCTGAATGTGCCAGCAACTGTCTCAGCATTTTAACACGTTAATTCATTCACATTCAAACCATTCTGAGTAAGAGAGACTATTAATTACTGCCACGTTGCAAAGGAGGAAACTCAGGCCCAAAGAGACTATGCTATTTGTTCAAGGTCCTCCACTTAGGAAGTGGCAGATCCAGGATTCTAAGCTTAGCAGTAGAAATCTGTAATCTGTGCTCTTAATCACTATGGCACACTGCCTTGATCCAGGGCAGGCATCTTTGTTTTCTTCAATGCATTCCAAGTGCCTAGGATAATGCCCGGCACAGAATGGAAACTCAATAAATCATTGCTGAATGAAATACAACAACCACCTACACTCCAGGGGAAAGTGTTAGTCTCTAGAATGTATGCTTATTTGAGGCATTCTGTCCAACTCATGTCAGATACACGTGAAAAAAATGTGGACTAGAAGTACTGAGAAAATGATGATGAGGCACTCAGCTGTGGAACAAACTAACGGCTAAGAGTGACTCTGAAAGACTCAGAGTGAAATGTGTAGCATGTGAAACCTGCCGGGACTATACCATCAATAAGGATCCGCAGTAGGAAAGGCAGCCATCAGCCCAAAAACCTGACAGCTCAAGGGCTCACCCACATTAATCTGTGCACCAAAGAGTCCTGTTAATCTAAGAGGCCGCATGGCAGGGAACATGAATGCTAAGTACCACGGAAAATGCTGTTGCTGAAACATTGCCGGAGACTGGGGTATTCTCAGAGGTTCAAAGCCCATTTGATCTGGTACCTTGAAAGTGAGCAGGGAGGCAACGTGGATAGTAGAGCTGCTGAGAAATTCCTTCAGACTGGCAGAGTTCATCAAAGAGGACAATTACCAACCCCAATACATTTGCAATGTAAATGAAACTATGCCTAAAAGATCCCTCAGTGCTTCTCAGCATAGCATTTCAAAGCTTTAAGAACCAACTTTCACTCCCTTTTTGTGGAGATGTTTCTGGGTACTGCTTGTATACATTGGAATTAAGAAGAAAAGGATTTACAAGTAGACTTTTGGGGCTTCCAAGCTGTGGGGCATCTGCATGGCTTGTCATCGCCTGACCCACCCTCCTTCCCCTCCTCCACTCTTAGATGCCAAGTGCCATCCTTAAATGTCTTCTCAGCAGTCCTTTGTTTATGCCTTCCAACAACCCAAGGTGTCAGGCACAACTACTATCCTGATTTTGTGAAGCAGAAAAGGGGCTTGGAACAGCAATGGGTTGACAAGGCAGGTTTCCACACCCAGGCCAATGCTTGTAGAAGATCGATCAGGGTGGTGGGTAAAAGTTAGAGGGAAAGATGGAAACCTTCTTGGAAGGCCGGGGGGTTTTGCAAAAGCTTTGAAAGAGGATTTGGTTGAAGGCAGCCAAATTCTCTTGTCTGGAGCCTGAGAACAAAGGGCAGATAACAATGGAATGTAAAGAAACTTATCAGATAAATTTGTTTACTCCTGTCTCCAAAAACCAACCTTTGATCATTCACTCTACTTGGGGGTCGACAATGTTTATTACCCACAGATTGTGTTTGCTCCAAGCTTTTGTCATTAAATCTGTGCTAAATAAATGTGAACATCGCTGGCTTAGGGGGACTGCTATCTCTCTTCGGCCCCTAGTGCTGGCAGTCCCCTAGCCTGCTCTTTCACTGGATACCTGTGCCTGAGTACTCCTTTCCTTTCATCCGTCACTCAGTCAGAGTCTGCAGGACAGACTTGGCAGTTGGTGCCCCGTGTGAGGAACGCTGCAATGGATCACAATGGAACCCTCAAAAATGAAGGTGAAGAGACTGCACAGTCAGTAAGTCACTGGTGCCCGCTTGGGATTTCCAAGTTCGAGGGACTTGTTCAGGCTAGGGTTTCATCATGGGGCAACAGTTATCAGCTCAACAGCAACAGTATATAAAACTATTGAAACAGCTGCTTAAAGCTAGTGGAGCCTCGTTTTCACAGGCTCAATTAAGGGACCTAATGCAAACTGTTGTTTCCCATAACCCATGGTTCCTGGAAGAAGGTACGCTAGACATAGAGCTCTGGGAACAAGTCGGGAGAAATCCTAAACATCATGCACAAGGGCAACAGGTCCCAGTAACATCTCTAAGGTTACAGGCCTTAGTTAGGGCTGCTTTGGTCCCACTGTACACAGAAGAGCCTACAAAGGGAAGGGAGGAGGAGCCATCATCTACCTTACCACCTCCTCCTTCTCCCTCAGCCCCGCTGTTACAGGGCAAAAATAACAAAGACAGAATGGAGGTTTTGCCTGAGCTCCCTCCTCCAATAAATTGGAGAAAAGACAAGGAATATGCTATAGCTATGGGACCCTGTCTTAGGCAAGTGGCATTAGAAGGGGAGCTCTTGGCCTGCCTGGTAATGCAAAATCGACAAGGCAATTAGGTGTATGAACCATTAGTTTTAATGCTTAAAAAGACATAAGGAAAAGCATAAAAAAACAAAAACAAAAACAAAAAACAGAGCTGCTAGCCCATTTACAAGAGGGTTGAGGTCACTCTGCAGATCTCTAATAATGTGATTAGAGATCCACTGTTACTCCTCCCCTATCCCTGACGAGGTTCTCTCAAAATCTTATTTGGGTAGAACAGTGACCTTTAAAGGGAGAGAAATTACAAAGAGCCCATGAATCAGCTGAGGAACAATTAAAAGCCAGCCATATACAACCGTCAAACAGCACTTGGAATTCGCCTATTTCTGTCATTCCCAGAAAGTCTGGCAGATGGAGACTTTTGCATGACTTATGGGCTACCAATGCTAATTTGCAAGCTATGAGGCCCCTTCAACAGGGCCTCCCTTCCCCAGTGGCGATTCCTATAGATTGGCCTATAGTCTTATTGACTTTATTGACTTAAAAGACTGCTTTTATACTATTCCCCTTGCAGAACAGGACAGAGAAAAATTTGTGTTTACAATAGCAGTTATCAATAGAGGCCAGCTCGCCAATTTCATTGGAAAGTACTTCCTCAAGGAATATTGTGTCAGTATCAGGTAAATCAGGCTTTGCTCCCCAGTAGAAAAGACTTGCCTAATTGCAAGATTATTAATTTTATGGATGATATTTTACTAGCAGCTCCAACAGAGCCAGTACTTTTAAGTTTATATGCCTCTGTCGTAAAGAATACACAGTTAAGAGGTTTAATCATAGCACTTGAAAAAGTACGATTGTCTTCTCCTTGGAAATATCTTGGAAACATTCTAACTTACTGGTCAGTAAGACCTTAAAAAGTTAAATTAAATACTAACAACTTACACACCTTAAATGATTATCAGAAATTACTAGGCGATATTAACTGGCTCCGCTCCACCTTGCGCATAACTACTGATACATTACAAAACCTGCTTTCTATCCTAAAGGGCAATACAGCCCTAGACTCTCCCAGGTATTTAACTCCTGCAGCAAAAAGGGAAATTGAGGAAATACAGCATGCTATTTTTCAGAGGCAACTGGATTGCACAGACCCACAATATTCAATATTCAGTTCAATTGTTTGTTTTTCCTACTAAGCATTCCCCAACAGGATTAAATAGGACAGATGTCCCCAGGGCTATGCTTCCTAAAATGGGTTTTTTGCTCACACACCGGAACTAAAACTCTATCTCCCTATATCCAACTAGTTAGTAAAGTCGTCTATTTAGGCTGCAGATGATGCCATCAGTTGCTAGGTTATGACCTTGATGTCATCAGAATTCCTTTAAGTAAAAAGCAATTCGAGGTAGTCTTGCCCTTATCTCTAGACCTGCAAATAGTACTCTCTGATTATACAGGCCATATACAGCATGCCCTTCCTGCTGATAAACTACTTCAGTTCTTATCTTGTACTCCTGTAGCTATGCCTACAAAAGTGGTTCACCCTCACCATACCTAATGCTTTAATGCTTTTTACTGACGGCTCTGGTAAAAAATGGGAAAGTGGCTATTTGGTGGAGACTGCGCAATTCCCTCATTCGTTCTGGATTTAATAACACTCAGAGAGCTGAGGTTGGAGCCTTAATATTGGCCCTGGAGACCTTTTCTGCTCAGTCTATCAATATTGTTAGTGACTCTGTTTACTCTGTTTGTTTATTGCAAAACCTTGAAACAGCCCTCATTAAGTCTACTCTTGAGCCCACCCTGTGTGTAGTTTTTCTTTGATCTCAGCAATTGGTGGATCAACGTACACATCCTAGTTTTATTACACACATTCGGGCCCACAGCTCACTGCCTGGCCCCCTAGCTTATGGCAATGATCAAGCAGACCTGCAGATTATGATGTCACTGCTTGACCAAGCCACCCATTCGCATCAACGTTTCCACCAAAATTGGAGAAAATTATCTAACCAATTTCAACTTACCCAAAGACTAAACACATTATCCTGCAATGCCCAAACTGCCAGCTCACAGGCACGTCTGCTCCTTTAACAGGTGTTAACCCTAAAGAACTAGATCCTAATCAGCTATGGCAAACTGATGTTACACACGTCCCTAAATTCGGAAAACTAAGATATGTACATGTATCTGTTGATACCAATTCTCACCTAATCAGCACACATGCTCTTCCTGCAAAGTCTAATATGTTATTAAACATCTTCTTTTAACTTTTGCATTTATGGAGTGGCCCACAAAAATTAAAACTGATAATGGTCCAGCTTATGCCAGCTCAACATTTCAGCAATTTTGTCACACGTGGAACATCCAATATTCCACAGGCATCCCTTACAACCCCCAAGGACAGGCCATAGTAGAACGTGTCCAATCTGCCCTTAAAAATACGCTCAGAAAACAACAACAACAACAAAGGAATATGAGTAAGGACCCTGCAACACCACTGGCACAAGCCTTATTTACCCTTACTTTGTAAATCTAAATGATAAATTTCAATCAGCTACAGAAAAGCACTTTGCTAAAACCTCTCAAGACATTAAACCCTGCAGTTTTATGGAAAGATATAAACAGTAATGTATGGTGTGGTTCAAATGAATTGTTAACGTTGGGAAGAAGATATGCTTGTGTTCACACCCCCTCAGGTCCTCTCTGGATTCCAGCATGAGGCATCAAACCATACCATAGCATGGCTAGGACCCAATCTGGTACCAGAAATGAATAAAATGACCCTGCAGGACCCATAGCCCTGGATGATGCGGCTTCTTCAGATGACACAAGCCCCGGACATTACCTGGGGGATGCTGAAGAAGAAAACTCAGGAGGCTAAGCGAATCCTGCTCTAGACATAGATATCATTCACTCCAGATAATCTGTTCCTTGCTATACCTTCTGCTGTACACTGCAACTCTCATAGGGTATTAAACCTTTGTATTCTCTCACTCTGCCTGCAACCCGTACCTGCTACCTCTACTGGGCTCATCTCTTAGATTTGCCTTTCTTCTGCCCTGTTACCTGGGCAGACACCACCTTCCCAGGCTCTAATAATGTAACTGCTGGGCTGGAAGGGGTTAAAACACCCCCAGTGGGGTTCCTTAGTAACAGCACACATTGGACTGAGGTGCCAAGAAAAACTACACGTCACTCCTTGATTGGAAAAGCATGTTACTGATTATACTCATGTTTGTCTTATATTATTTACTAATTCTAGGAATGCAAAGCTGGAATACAAGCAGTAATCACTATGCCAGACAAACTGGTTACTGCACACATCTGTACTCTTCAATCAACAAAACCTGATGCAAAAAACAGAAAAGGGGGAGATGTAGGACACCAGTCAGGGTGGTGGGTAAAAGTTAGAGGGAAAGATGTAAACCTTCTTGGAAGGTTGGGAGGTCTCACAAAAGCTTCGAAAGAGGATTTGACTGAAGGCAGCCAAATTCTCTTATCTGGAGCCAGAGAGCAAAGGGCAGATAACAAGGGAATGTAAAGGAACTTATCTAGATAACTTTGTTTACTTCTGTCTCCAAAAACCAACCTTTGATCATTTGCATGCAGGACTGCTCTCTGCTCGGGGGGGTCGACAATGTTTATTACCCACAAATTGTGTTTGCTCCACGCCTTTGTCATTAAATCTCTACTAAATAAATGTGAGCATCACTGGCTTAGGGGGACTACTAACTCTCTTCGGCCCCTAGTGCTGGCAGTCCCCTAGCCCGCTCTTTCACTGGATACCTGTGTCTGAGTACTCCTTTCATCCGTCGCTCGGCCAGAGTCTGCAGGGCAGACTCGGCAAATGCTGCCTGATGGATCCTGGCTGCCCAGAGAAGGGCTGGAATGATGCAGAAATCAGAAGGCAACCTGGAGGTGACATAGGTAATCTGCATTTGTCAGACCTGGGTTAAATTAGCCGTAAGAGCCCTTTCTATTTTAGCATCCTCTGATCATGTACTCTAAATGCTACATATCTAGAGTATTCCTTTCCTCTCCTTAGGTTGTGTCCTGACTGGCTGAGATTGAATACCTTTTTAATACATGAGGCTTTTTCCACTCAGGAGAAAGTCAGCTTTTCTTTCTACAGGTTTTTACAATTTGAAATATTTATTAAAAAATACTTGTATTTCACTATCTCTTAATAATTTCCTATCTGGCAATTTCATCTTCTATATTAGATGGTAAGTTTCCTAAAAGTAGAGACTATTTTGTTCATTTTTTAAGTCCCAGTCAGTGATGCCTTACATGAAGTATTTGCTCAATAAATACCTTGAAATCAAATTAACAAAAAGTTAATATCATTTTTAAGATCAGAAAATGGCATTTTATAATAATTGATGTTAGTGATTTAAGAGAAAGCAATTTTGCATGGAAATGAGAAATTAATGCTTAAGTTGGCTGCTACTTGCCCACAGATGACATCTGTAAGAAATGTTAAGTATTTCCTGATAGCATCTTGTAAAATATTTCAACTCTGAAAATTGTCTTCTGTCCAAACACAACCTGGCCAGAGTCTATTTCAGTCAGGCCAAAGCAAAGGCCTGGAGAGAAATTCTTTAATTACAAGGATAGACAAGTTGACCCAGTGTTGCTAAAAACTTAAAGCAGCTCCACTCTCAGCATTTTTACAAAGTTTTATGGCTTCTTTCTAGTTTTATCCCGGCTTATTTCCAATAGCCATGATAGTCAGTGTCTAGTAATCTCCAAAGAGTAGAAATTAAAAAAAAAAAAAAAAAAAACGAGATTAAAAACAGTGATTAAAAAAGACCAATAACAAAATAAAACTAATTTTGTATTAGTTTATGGCTCACTGTAATCCGAGATTGAGTTTCCTCTGTGGATGGTAAAATTGAGAAAACCATATGTGTTATTTCATGTAATATCTGAGTTTGAGAAAATCATATTATTTTCACAAAGTATAAAAAATAACAAAAGCTAGAAAGTATATGGGATAGTTAATGGCAGGGGCTGCAGAGAGCTCAAGGAAGACTCAAAATGGGCCATTCTTTTTTAGCAACTGGTTATCACTGGTGATCTGCAGAAGACAGTTTTAAAGTGACCAAGGCCAGCCTCCTCTTATAATAAGATGAACAATGATCACCCTGAGACAGAAAGGAACCCAATGAGGATGTGTGGGAGGCAGATGATGCTCCTTTTTCTGTGAGATAATAATGAGTTATGTTAACCTTCTCAAGAAGGCAGTAAGAATATACAGAGAAAAGAAAGGGCATGGGCTGTGGAGGCAGACCCTGATTTGACTATGTGCTTTCCAACGTCCTAGCAGTGGCAACTGGGCCAAGTCATCTAACCCCTCTGAACTTCAGTTTTCTCTTCCTTAAAAGGGGGATACAAAGGCCTCTGCCTTTCATGTTGTTTGGAAGACTAAATTTAAATAAAACAATGTATTTAAAATGCCCTCAATAGTCCCTTGTATATAATCGGCACTTAATAAATGGCGGCTGTATTTTCTATTATTAACAACAACAACAAAATGTCAATGGTTTGAGACTATTCTTTTGAAAAATATGAAAAGGTAATAACAGTGGCCAAAGAACTAATTTTAAATACATTCTATCCCACTTGCAAATTATTGCTTGTAAGATTCATAAGATCCTATAGTGTCAATATAAATGATATAATGGAAAGAATTCTAGCAGTTTAGAATCCAACTATTTTATGTAGAAAAAAATACTAAAACTGATAAAATTTTTAAGGAAAATTTAGTATTTTCAGGCAGCCTGAATAGTTTTGGTTCATTAGTTATAATAACCACAAAAGAATCAGGATATTTCTACTAGTTAACAATCTTGTTATGTTGAAAATGAATCAAAGTGATAAACAAGTAACTGACATTGGAAGAGCTACCATGAGGTGATGGTTTAAGAGTTCATGGAAGGGTGAAAGTGACCAAATGGTAGCTTGGTTCAGAGTCACTGGACCATTATATCAACATATGGAAATCACACTCCTGCATGGAAGGAACCATACACCAACCACTCATAAACCCAGGGAAGCTTCTCTATTTACACACAGCATTAGGTTTTCTAAAGGCAAAACTCTAAATTCTTTCCTTCTATTCTCCCTAAGTAATACTATAAAGCCAGTTTCATAAAAGTTGCCAGATAGTTTTACCTAATTTTATTTTTTATCATTTATTTCACTACAAACCAAATATTGGGTTTTTCATGTTATTGGACAATAAACATTTTAAAAATTAATTGTACAGTGTTAATTTTTGTCTTCCTGATATGGTCCAATTCACATAAACCCTCTCAAGTGGTTGGACTGCTTGATCACAGATACTCATATCTCTCCACCTTGACAGTACTTAATAGCAGAGAAGGCAAACTACTTTTCTTGGGCTTTTAAAAAGATTGGACAAAATTATTTTAAAATTTCTAAGGAGAGAGTATCCAAATAGTGATAATTCCCATTATAAGGATATAATAAACATCAGAAAAGCAATATTCTCTATATTATTAGTCCCTACTTTTAAAACAAGTTAACTAAGAAATGAGATGCAAGAAAGATTATTTACTGGTTAGGTACTTTTTTATAGTAGCTGCATCAGGCCTGGGATCAGTCTTCATCGCAATATAAACTGCTAGGGCTGTTTGATCTATATGAGAAATAACAGCATTTGCCGCGTCAACAATTTCATTAAGTCTTTTCATTCGTTCCTGGAGATGAAAAAAGAAGTAATAAAAAATAGGTACATCAATCAGCATATGAAAGAAATTACACTTCTGCTGTCTCAACCATGAGAGCTACAACTGCAATGTGAGTAAACTACATAATTGAACCCAGGGGGCTCCATGCTCTCTCCTAATGTAATTTTTCTAATTGCTGATATCTATAAAACTTGAGCTCAGATGTATAATAAAAATACCTTATTTACATTCCCTGCTGGAGTACAATGGTAAAAGTAAGCAAAATATAAACTTCATTAAAATGTAAAGTTTTCTTTTTTTTTTTTTTTTAACAAAAGTAACTCCTTTTCTATATTTCTTAAGATTCTGGAAATGTGATTGGCTATTGTTATTACTCTAGTTGCACACTACCTGAAAACAGGGAGAAAAAAAAAAAAAAAAGCCCTAGCTGATGAAACCAGTTCTTTCTGATCCATCATGAAAAACACAAAGATGACAGTAAACATTATAATCAACAGTCTAACTGTGATTACCATGATGTTCCCAACAATTTGCCTCTTTCTTGTTAAAGTCTTTTAAGAAATCTCCTTTAAACACCCTTTGGTTCACTCTGAACCCTTGATGATTTTTATCTTGATTAGGACAGCACTTTTCCACTGCTTTGATGACTAATGAGAACTGGTTCATCTCATCACAGGCTAGAACTACAGCCAACTCTCACAAATGGGAATCATTAACAAAGTTAATGCAAAGTAGGAATTCTTTCAGCGAAGGTGTTCAGATTTCCACCTGGCCAGGATTACTACCTTCTGCCCCTTACCCTTTAGGTTAAGGTAATGAAAACAGTCCTTAGGGTATCTTCTCTATTACTAATCTCACTGACCAAGCATGAGCAAGAATCCTAAACTAAACTCAGAGTAGTGGCTAGGTCTTATAATAACCTTCATGAAAACAGCTTAATACAATATTCAATTTGAGAAAACATGTTTTAGGTAGCAAGAAGAAAAGAGAAAGATAATAATGCACTTTTCCTCAAAACACAAACCTTATCTAATTACAAACAAAATAAGATGTATTAGAATGAACATGTCTAACCTTTTCAGCATCCAATTGATGAAGTCGAGCAACGTACAGAGGAAGATAATTAGGATATGTTTCTTTCAATTCGTTATAAATGTCACTAGAATCCAGCCTAAGTATGTAAGAAGGAGATAAATATTTACTTCTTCTTTTAAAAAGAGTATTTCTGTCTTCTCTATTATTTAACATTGCTTGGAAGTTTAAGCCAATAAAATAAGACATTAATCTGAAATGTATAGTCATTGACAAGGATTATCATTATTGGCAGGTAGTATAAATGGTTAACTAGAAAACAAAATAAATCAAACTGGGCTGGGTGCAGTGGCTCACAAGGTCAAGAGATCAAGACCATCCTGGCCAACATGGTGAAACTCCATCTCTACTAAAAACACAAAAATTAGCTGGGCGTGGTGGCACACGCCTGTAGTCCCAGCTACTCGAGAGGCTGAGGCAGGAGAATCACTTGAACCTGGGAGGCGGAGGTTGCGGTGAGCTGAGATTGAGCCACTGCACTCCAGCCTGGTGACAGAGTGAGATTCCATCTCAAAGAAGACAAAAACAAAAAATAAAATAAATAAAAACTGAAAATTATTTCAATTAAGAGTTCAATAAGATATCCAAATAAAAATATGCATCAATAGCTTTCTTACATACCAGCTATTATATTTATTTAAAAGGAAGAAAAGCACATTCACAAATAGCTAGAAAGATGAAAAGATTTAAAAATGTCTAAGATCTATTAAACTCTTCTGAAAATTCTAAAAAAAATAAAAATTTAAACTTTTCTGAAAATTCTAAAGTCTTGAATGAATACAGTTATTCTACATTCCCTGATGCAGAGGCTGAATAACATTCTCAATTCTACCTGATTATATGTATCAGGATAAAAACAAATTAACATACAAATGGTAAGTAACTAGCACCAGAAGTGGGTAACTTACATTAAAGTCACTTACTATATTAACAAAACTCCATAGTAGCATAAAAATAAGGTTGACTGGGATTTTGATACTCTAACTAACTTTCTATGAAAATAAATTTAACTTATAGACAACAAAATTTACACTAATTCTTAGTACAAAAAAAATTAAGTCCTGTTTTTCTCTTTTCCCTAACAATTATACAAGGGCAAAATCAACACTTTCATTTTACATGTTAAAACTACTGCACCTTAATTATAAATTTTTTTTTTTCCCAAAAAACGTTCTAAGGTTTTTTAAGTTTTGTAAGGGAATGATAATAATTTTTTGCTGTTTTCTTCTAAAACACCTATTAGGTAAACCTTTTCAATTTTTTCTCCACACAATTTTCCCATTTTAAGTGTAAATTTCAGTGTTTTCCAGCATGGTAACAGATATATGCAACTATTACAACAGTCAACTTTAAAATATTTTTCATCAATACAAAAAGAAATTGCCATACCCTTTAGCTATCAGATCTCCCCAGCCTCCCCAGCACTAAGCAACCACTAATCTACTTTCTGTCTCTATAGAAAATTTCCTCATTCTGGACATTTAATATGAATAGAATCATATTAATACAAGGTCTTTTGTGACTGGCTACTACCACTTAACATACTATTTTCAAGGTTCATTCATGTTGGAGCCTGTATTAATCCTATTCACAGCTGAAGAGGAGTCCCCTGTATGGATACATCACATTTTGTTTGTCCATTCATCAGCTGATGGATATTCCACCTTTTGGCCATTATGAATAATGCTGCTATAAACTGTCATGAACATGTTTTTGTGTGAATATAGGTTTTTATTTTCCTTAGGTATATACCTGGGAGTGGAACTGCTGGGCCATATGGAAACTAAGCTTAATCATTTGAAGAGCAGTCAGATTGCTTTCCAAAAAGTCTGCATCATTTTTGTATTCTTTACCATCAATGTCTGAGGATTCTGCCTTGTCCACATACTTGCCAAAACTCATCATCTGACTTTGTGATTCTAGCCATCCTAGTGTGAAGTTCTATTTCATTGTGATTTTTATGTGCGTTTCCCTGAAGACTACTGATTTTGAGCATCTTTTCATGCACTTACTGGTCATTTGTATATCTTTATAGAAATATCTATTCAGATTCTTCACCCATTTAAAAAATTGGGCCATTTGCCTTTGTATTACAAAATTGTAGGAATTACTTATGTATTCTGGGGGCTGGGTGTGGAGGTGGCTCATGCCTGTAACCCCAACACTATGGGAAGCTGAAGCAGGAGGATTACTTGAGGCCAGGAGTTCGACTAGCTTGGGCCACACAGTGAGATTCCATCCCTTAAAAAAATTAGCTGGGCGTGGTGGCGTGCACTTGTAGTCCTAGCTATTTGGGAGGCTGAAGTGGGAAGATCCCTTGAGCCCAGGGGTTCAAGGCTGCAGTGAGTTATGATAGTGCCACTGCAGTCCAGCCTGGGTGGCAGAGTGAGAGAGACCCTGCCTCAAAATATTAAAAAAAAAAAGGTCAGCATTCTTTACATATTCTGCATACAAGCTCCTTAAAAATATATAACTTGCAAATAGGCCTTTTTTTGCACTTTCTTGATGCTATGCTTTGAAGCACAAAAGCTTTTAATCTTGATTAAGTCCAAATTATCTATTTTTTTCTTATGTTACTTATGCTTTTGGTATCTTTAAAAATTGTTTGCCAAATGTAAGGTCATGAAAGTTTACCACTATGTCCTCATTGAGGAGTTTTATAGTTTCAGCTCTCTGATACATTTTGAGTTAACTTGTATACATGATGTGAGGCAAGGGTCCAACTTCATTCTTTTCACATATGGCTATTCAATCCCAGCATCCTTTGCTGAAAATACTATCCTGTCCTCATTAAATGGTCTTTGCATCAGCACCCTTGCCAAAAATAAAAATCAGCTGACCATAGACACATGGTTTTATTTCTGGACTCTTAATTCTATTCCATTAATCTATATATGTCTTACCCTTGTGCCAGTATAACACTGTCTTGTTTACTGTTGCTCTGTATTTAAGTTTTGGAATCAGGAAGTGTGAGCCCAACTTTGTTCTTAATTTTCAAGATTGTCTGGCTATTCTGAGTCTCAGGGAATCACATATGACTTTTAGAATCAGCTTGTTAATTTCTATAAGAAGTCTTCAAGGATTCTGATGGGAATTCAACTGAATCGTTCGATCAATATGAAGAGTAGTGTAATGATATTAAGTCTACTAGTCCACAGACATGGAATACCTTTTACATTTACTCAGGTCTTTTAAATTTCTTTCAACAATGTTTTATAGTTTTGATGTGTAATTCTTACATCTCTTTTGCTAAACATATTCCGACACATTTTATTTTTTTCAATGTTATTGTAAATGGGATTCTCTTAATTTCCTGTTAACTTTAAATTATTGATATATTTGGACTTAGGTCTTCGATTTGATTTTTTGTTTTTGACGTATCCTACGTCTTTTTTTGTTCCACTGTTCCTCCTTTACAGCTTTCTTTTGTATTAAGTGAATATTTTTAAATGAACATTTAAATTTATTTAATGATTTTTTTCAGTTTATTTTTAGTTTTCCTTAGTGGTTGCTCTAAGGCTTACCATATACATCTTAACTTATAAGAATCAGCTTCAGATTTTTCCTAGCTTAATTTCAGTGAGATATAGAAATGTTATCCATTTATAGCTCTACTCCCCTCTCCTTCCTTGTGTAGTATTATTCTATCTGTTGTATCTATTACTGTTATACACCAATCAATTGTTATAATAATTACTTTACTATCTGCAGTCATTGCAGTCATTTCTTTAGCCCAATACAGTTTTGCTCCTTTGTGCTATCAGTAAATATATATTACAGAATATTACATTTAAATATTACATAGGCCTAATATATACACAACATTCATAGAAGAGCTTTTTAAATTAGTTAACAGGAAAAAAAGGAGAACTTCATGCTTTTATAATTCCATAAAAATTAACTTTACCAGCATTTCTTTCCCCACTCTCACCGATGTAGATTCAAATTACTGCCTGAGATCACCTGCTTTCAGGGTGAAGAACCTCTTTTAGTACTTCTTATAAGATGGGTTTGCTAGCAACAAATTCTCCGGTTTACCTGGGAGTTTTTTATTTCATTTTCATTTTTAAAGGATAGTTTTGCTGGATATAGGATTATTGGTTGAGACTTTGAGCACTCAGAATCCCACTGCTATCTGACCTCTACTGTTTCTGCTCAGAAGTCAGTTGTTAACCTTACTAGTATTTCTTTATAAGTGATGAGGAGTTTTGTCTTGCTCCTTTCAAGATCTTCTCCTTATCTTTGACTTTCAGTATTTTTAACACGCTATGTCTATTTGTGGATTTCTTCCCATTTACTTTGAGTTCATTGAGTTCCCTGGATATGTAGGTTAATATCTTTCAATAAATATGGGGTGTTTCCAGTCATTATTTCACTGGATATATTTTTGCTTTCTCTCTGTTCTCCTGGTACTCCTGTTCCATGGATTTTGGTGCACTAATGGTATCCCACATTTCTCTGAGGCTCTGCTCTGTTCATTTTTTTTCATTCCTTTTTTCCCCGTTTTGGAGAGAACCCTTAGGTACATGGACTTCTCTATCTTCTGTTGCAAATGAAGTCAATTCCTTCAGGAAGAAATTAGGAGCTGTCAGTTTTATGAACTCCTGAGGCCCCACTGGCAAAATCACTAAGCCCAAGCTCTGGAACAGGGAGTGGAAGAATGGCATGTTTTTCTTTGAGTCACACGCCCACTTAAGGAGCTTAGCACTCTCCTGTGGTCTTCTCAGCTTGCCTCGTGTGCTATGGAACCACAGCCTCCTGGATATTAGGGCCCCAGTGTTCCCAACAGTACTTCACAAGTAAGGGTTAGCAGAAGAAGAGAGTCCCCACCTTTTGACAGCACTCAGCAGGAACTGAGCCGCTGCAACTGGCAGTGGGTCAGGATGAGAAATGATGACATCCTGCTTCTCCAAGGAGGAAAGCCTTTCCTCCCCCAGGAGCTGGAGCTCCTGAAGGCAAGATCGGAAGTAAAGTTTCTGGCTCACTGAACTGCGAGAGGAAAGGGAGGCAGTGGTCTTGGTTCAAATATCACAGACTCTTGCTTTTCTTAACCAATTTTTGTAGGTATTTTTGAATAGATGTTTCTTCATTTGCTGTATGTCCTCTGGACCATTTCCAGGGGCTTTTAAAAGTTGTTTTGTTTTGTTTTTAAATAATTTTCACTAGTTTTACTGGGGACCAGCATCATGGGTCTCCTCAGGCTGTCATGCCAGAAGACAATCTCTGCAATTTCACTTTTGAAGAATTTATATTTTATTGTCAACTGTTTACGACATTCTAAAATCAGGCAGAGACAGACCTGAAGACTTTGACTTCCAGTGGAGATACAACGTAGTTTTAAGTGGGAAAGGTATATTTGCATGTGAACTGACATTACAATGGTTCAATCTCTGGGAAATATTTTCACATCATGATGACTTCTATTCCCTCTAAAACCATGTAACTGCAAGGATGCATACATAATCAGCTAAAGAGGATTCCCATAAAATACCAGCAGTAAAAGAAATATTGCACAACAGATGGAAAAAGCAACTGATTTGACTACATAGAATAAATTTCAAGTAGAAAGTAAGCCCAAAGTCAAAGAGTAAACTAGAGTAAAATCTGTGGCAAGTGCAGAAAAGCATTAATATCTTTCATGTAAAAAGTTTTAATCAACCAGAAACATCTAATGTCTCAACAGGAAAAAAAGGTGAAGAATACGCTCAACTGTCAGAAGCTACACTAATAATGAATGACACCATCTAAAAGGCTCTCCTTTAATAATAACTAGAGATGTAATTTAAGACAGCAGTAATAGCCCGCTTTTGCACTGTGTAGTAGCACACATACATGGCTAGATGAGTGTAAATTATTATACTCATCTCAGAAGGCAATCTGGCAAAATATAGCAAGACGATTTTTACTTTTAAGATGCCACATGATGGAAATTTTAAAAAATCACCTTTATGTATAAAAATGTTTATCACAGCATCAGGAAGAAAAGCTATAAATATATATATGCAAAATAAAACGTTTAAATACATTATGTTGCATCCATAGAACCATATACAACACAGACATTACAAATGGTATTTCACAGGGCTGTTAAATCATAATAAAAAAGTAACTGAAAAATGGAAACTAATTTTATCCACACTGCTACATGTACAAACACAGAAGAAAAAAATAATATGAGGACAATGACTATTTATGAATTGTGGGCAAAAGTGATTTTTCTTTTTTATACTTTCCAATATAATTATCCTCCAAGAACAAATTAGAGTGATTAAAATAAAAATTAAAACATTTAATCACAAAATTACAAATTTATAATTTAAATAAATTACACATTTATATAAAAAGAGGAAAATTTAAAAGCACCTATAATCCTACCATCTGCTGTTAACATTTTAAAATACGGTCTATGTATATATACACAATATTGTTATAGTTGAGAAAACAGAACTAAACATTTAAAGAATTAAAATACATTTAAAAACCTACTTTGTCATCCACTGAATTTTAAGATCTCGTAATGCTTCAGTAAACTCTTCTTTCAAATCTTTCTCTTTTTCTGAATCTTTTTCCTTATCTTTGCTGCCGTTCTTAGTCTTTGTTGGTGGAGGTATTAAGTAGTAATGAACAGGGATTACATCCTACGAATGTGGAGAGAGATTCTTAGATTAATATGCTTAATTTTACATATGTCAAAATCATCTTCAATAGCTACTTGTCATGTAACATGGGCTGCACCTGAGTAGTACTACACTGTATTCTAGATTCTAAGGGTCACAATACACCAAAAATTCCAATCTCTGGTCACAGTAATTTTCTCACAAACTGATGCTGAGTACTGATACTTCAAATATCTCCTTTAAAATAAAAGAGAGAAGAACCCACTTTTCTCCATTTGAGTATATTTGGTATTCTTGGCTTTACTTGGCAGACAGATGACAAACGTACACTAACCTTTCACATTTTAAATCTGAGAAGAGGATGAAATAAGTCCAAAGTAAAAAAAGATCCTCTAAGTAAATTTAAGGGGACATTTACACCTTCATTAAACCAACAGGACTTACTGAGTCCCCGCGACGTGCCAGGTAATGCTCGAATAGGTAAAGAACACACCAGATGCTGACATCTGATATGAAGAAAACAAAACAGAATAAAAGGATAGAGTGACTGTCAGGTAACAAGGGGGAGCCGATGTACACAAAGTGGCTACGGAAAGCCACTCTGAAGAGGTAATATCTTATGCAAACGACCCTAAATGAACAAGGAGAAGATGAGCAACTGTAAAGACCTGAGCTGGGTATAAAGCAAGCACAGCTGTATCTTCTGAGAAAGCAGGCGGCAGCCAACTTAAGTAGGGCTTGAGAGAATATGGTTTAAAAAAGAAAAGAAAAAATACCATATATAGTATTCTAAGCGCACTAAGAAGCATACCAGAAGAGTTTTACAAAAGACAGTGACATGATTAAAGATTTCTGCTTTTTGTTTAATGACTCTAGTTCCTGTATGGATGAAAATTTTGGTTTGTGTTCTATTTGGAAAATAGATTATAGAGGGTAAACGTGGAGGCAGGAAAACAACAAGTTAGGAAACAAACCTAGGAAACCCTACGCTGCGCCTTAGACTAAAAACAAAATTGGAGAAAATGAACAGATTTGAGATCTTTAAAGGTAGAACCAATGCGTTTGCCGACAATGCTGAAAAATACGTAGATGAATAAGATTAGGGATGGAGAATGGAAAAAGCAGCTCTGTGAGTGAGAAAGGGAAAACAAAAAGCACCTGGGATCATGGAAGCCTTGAGGAAAAACCAGCAAGAAGGAAAATGATCAACTGCCCACCTAGCTGAGAGGCAGTGTACGATGAAGTAGGAAGGAACTGAAAACCTGGCAGCACAGAGCCTGCTGACCCCCCTGGACAAGAACAGTGTCAGGGGACAGTGGAACAGTCCAGGCCAGAGAAGACAGAGATGAAAAGAGAATGGAAGTCAATACGTCTGTGGGTCTTTTGAGAAGTTTTGCTTTGAAGACAGCAGCAGAGAAATGGAGAGTAACTATATTTATTTTATTCACAGATAAATCTTGACTTGTGAAAGGTAAAGCATTATTTGGGAAATGAAATCACATGCTATATCTGCTAGATTTGTTTTTGGCACAATAACTGGGTGTCCTTAATTAAGCCATTATTTATTAAGTCAGTTCCTCAATTTCTATCTTTGGGTTTGTATTTAAAATGGTGCTAAATTAAAATACTATATTCATTTTAATTAACAAAGTTCATAAAATTGAAACAAATGTTACCAAAAAGACATTCACTGAAAAAGCTTTACTCTGGTTGAGTAAAAAAATAATATTGCAAGTCCCCACCTCTCTGTAAATAGGATGTTTAGGAGCATATACTACACAAATATTCCCATTTTAACAATTTTCACAAATAAACACAATTTCAGGGTATAAAATGATGTAACAGTAAACCAGGAACTATGGTTGTAGTTCTAATAGTATTCCAACACAAAATAATAACTGCTATCTCCATACTGATTCATTTAAAGCACAGAAAACCATGTTGACGTCAGATATAACCATATAAATCCATTCGTAGCCACTGGCTGTCATTCTCCCTCTGAGGTCAGGGAGCCAGAACCTGTAAACAAAGTCCTTATGTGAAACATGAGACTGGGAAAAGGAAACAGGTCTACTGCTTGGGCTAGCTCTTTCAGGACCCAGCTGCCTGTCCTTCTCCTCTCCTTCCCAAGGTTCACTCTCTGGGCAGGCACTGCCCTAAGCAAAGCCAAGGTAAGCGCAAAATCTGAGCTGATCTTCTACCAGCAAGTTCTTATGAAAACAGACTGCATCCGTGTCATCAGTACAGTAAAGACAACACATCTAGGAATTGAAGGGGCTAAGTGGCCTCCAATATTTACTTTCTGTTAATATAGCTCCATTTTCCATGGAATTGAGCTTCTCTGCCACCCAGTGTGCTAGAATGAGCGGTCTCCAGTCTTTCTCCCTGAGCTTCCCGCACCTCCTCGCTGTATGAGGGAGAGAGGTCTGCTGCTCTTAGGGAGGCAGCCTATATGCTGTGAGGCACTTCCTCCTCAGACTCAGAGATATGTGCTATTGTTTTAGTACAGAACAGAGAAAAGAGAATTGAATTTAAAATGAGCCATCTTTAAAATTAATTTAGGATTTACAATGAACTCTAACAAAGACCTATCAAAAGCAGGAAAAAAGATATCCTAGCAACCTTAAACTATCATTAAAAGCAAAAAAGAGACAAAGTTTATGATGAATTATCTCATGGAAACAAAAATCAAGGTTTTGTAATCAGCATTTTACGTATTAAATATATCAAATTACCTATAAAAGTTAGTGTAATCCTACAAGATGTTTCAGGACAGGGAATTTTTTTTATTAGTAAAAATTATAAACCTGGTAGTTTTAATTTCTAATCAAAAGAAAAATGGCGCTATTTGTCACTTGCTGTATCACAATAATTTCTTCTTTGTGCCAATATTAATATTTTTATGACAATTCTCAAGGGGTTAACATAGTATCAATTTAATAGAAATAATTTTGTACCTTTAATCTTGAGAAATCTTGATTATGGTTTAAAGAGACAGTCAAGAAGAATCTTCAGAGCAGAAATGCTATGAAGATTTCTCTACAGTACATATTTAATGGTTACGTTTGGAAAAAAAGCATTCCAGCTACTCACAAAGTATTTCAACAGTGTTCAAACTGAACAGTGTTATTTAGAAAGTCAAACTCACCTGCCAGACCAATAACTACTCTCTGGGCAACACAATGCATTGTAAGTTAAACCGTGGTTCCAAATAGCAATTTCTTTAGTTCTTAAAATTATTAGTAACTGAATATTCAAAATTTTAAAAGCTTCACATAAACCATTTTAAAGAAGTATATCATATTTGAGTGCTATTTATGATCTGTTAAAAGTGACAATATTCAGGCTGGGTGCAGTGGCTCATGTCTGTAATTCCAGCACTTTGGGAGGCTGAGCCAGTAGGATTGTCTGAGGCCAGGAGTTTTAGACCACCTTGGGCAATAAGACCTCTCTCTACGAAAAGTAAAACTTAGCCAGGCATAGTGGCACATGCCTGTAGTCCCAGCCACTCCAGGGAGGCTGAGGTGGGAAGATCGCTTGAGCCCAGGAGCTGGAGGCAACAGTGAGCTATGATTGTGCCACTGTAATCTAGCCTGGAGTGTAGAGTGAGACTCTTTAAAAAAAAAACAAAAAGAGTATATTATTGCATTTTACAAGGAATTTTAAAAAGGGTGACATACTTTTTCAAATCAAGTCACTGAAACCCAGAGAAAAAAATCTATTAAGAATTATATACAAAATGCTATTTATCTTCATCAACCGGGAATTATACATGTATTTTTTTCTTCGTAATGTGACTGTAAAACTGTAATACTAATTATTTCTAAAATAAGAGCTTTATTGTGTACTTGCATTGAAGACAGAAAGGAAGAAGCAGAGATAACTCTAGCTGCTAAGTTCTTCAAATGAAGCTTTACTAATCATCAAGTAAATGCCTTTCTATTCATTCAATGTTTTCCTAACTATACAACCTAATTCAGACAAAATCTACCAAAACTTGCGAAAAGTCAACTAAAATAAGAAAAATAATTGCTATGGCTTTCGTGTTAAGTGCCTTCTATTTTTAATAGATTCCTAGAGTACCTTTTCCTTGTTCTCTAAAGCAGTGACTTGCAAACTATTTTCACAATGTCCCAAAGATATACACATTAATACATAAAATGAAATTACAATTTTATGAGTCTGATGAACTGACATTTCCTATTTTTTAAAAAATGTTGTTTTTATCCCATTACATGGCCCCCAAATCGGTCAAGACACCCAGGTGAGAAATACTGATCTTTAGATCTTTCTCCAGAAAGATGATTCCTAGTTATCTGTATTTTGTTTGGACAAATTATTTACTATTATGTAATAATATGGACATTCCAGAAGACATCTTAATAAAGGAATGTAAGCTGTTTACAGAATGGTGATTCCCCAGTTCCATATCACTATGAAATAAGAAATATAAAGTTATCTTTTGTTTATACATTAGGACATTACTGATTTTCCCATTGTAAATCTTTCTGTTTAAAAGGAAATCATGAAAATGCTGAATGATGTAGCAGGTCTTCACCAGAAAGCGTATTAAATATGCAGTCCCTTTCATATACACACACACACACACACACACACACATATATATATGTTTGTTTGTTTTGAGACAGGGTCTCACTCTGTGGCCCAGACTGAAGTGCAGTGGTGCAATCTCAGCTCACTGCAGCCTCCGCCTCCCAGGCTCAAGCGATCTTTCCACCTCAGCCTCCCATAGAGTAGCTGGGACTGTAACTGTGTGCCACCACGCCTGGCTAATTTTTGTATTTTTTTGTAGAGATAGGGTTTCACCATGTTGCCCAGGCTGGTTTCAAACCCCTGAGCTCAAGGGATCTGCCCAACTTGGCCTCCCAAAGTGCTGGAATTATAAGCATAAGTCACTGTGCCTGGCCCTAAAATACATTTTTAGCAGAAATTTTCTTTTCTGAGTTAAATCTGGCCCCAGCAGTAAATCAAAGATTGATTAATATGCTGCAGAGAGGCTGATCAGACCACTTAGTAGCGATGGCTTTAAACTCTGTGGTCTTAGCGTAAGCTTTAATTGTCAGTGAACAGTCCTTATTTCTGTTCCTGCTACGTCCATCGCTCTTTCTTGTTTCTGTTCTTTCAGAACCAGAATTGATACAAGAGCAGGGAATAAAGTTCACTTTAAAAAGCTGCAACATTTTATTAATCAAATCACCCAATTTAAAAGTGCTTTTAGACTTTAAAAATAATTAAGTGCTTTAGCTTATATGGCTTAAAAAAAAAACTATCACATCCATCTCTCTGTAAAATTGTAAATATGAAAAATTTCAAATATTCTTACTTGTTATCAAATCTGTAGCAAGAAATGAACAGCATTAAAATGTCTGTATACACAGAGAAAATGAGTCTTCCAGGAATTTATGGTGGGGAAAAAAAAACCCTTTAGAAAAGCAGTATGTCAACAAAGCTTGTAAGTAGAGCTAAGAGCACTATACTTCAGAATGCAAAGAAAGGAAACTAAGGGAGACTTATTTAAAAAAAAAAAGGTTTATAATAGTGACAGAAAAAAGTTTAATATGCAAATAAGGCTTTAAGACATCTTTTTTAAGAACTGACAATCAGTACCTTTTTAAATTTTCCTTGTCGTTTTGCTGCAGACTGCCCCTGGGAGTTAGAACGACATTCTGTAAGAAAACATGCATAATCTACACAGGATGGAGACAGAACCTCTGTCTAATTGTCTTTCAGTTTATGTTCCACCTGTGTCACACCACTTAGAAGGCTCAGGTCTGTGATCAAGATGGCACGCTTTTAAAGAAAGCAACATTGCCACTTTCATTTCTTAAATAAGAAAAAGTACTCAAATATGTTATTACTAAGAGTACCTGTCAACTTATTGAAAAATTTAGTAGATCAAAATCCATTACTTATGAAAGCATTTCTTAAAATAGTAAATTTAGTTGATGATCTAATCTGATTAAAGGGTACCACAACAACCCCACAGCCTATGCATTCCTATAAAAAGCAACAAAGTTACTGTGAAAGTCAAAGTGAAGTAAAAGTTACCTTCCCAACTACCAAAAAACAAGAAATGCTAAACCACTGAGAAAAGATTACATCAACAATGTGATGGAAGTTACTATGAACTCAACAGCTTTAAGTTACCGCTTTCTCCCAGGAAAGTCTCCCTTGATAAAGAGCTACCATAGTTAACACCACATATTTGTAATTTAATTTCACAATTGTCTCCTAAAACAATGTAGCTGGGAAGTAGTAACTATTTCTGAATTGCTAAAAGCCCATTATTTTACTAATAATGCTTTTCTGTTATACTCTTCACAAGTAAACAGACTCTTCAGAAGTGTCATCTGTCATCTGAATGAAAATTCAGAGCTGAAGCCCAACAGCTGAAGCCCAATAGCTGAAGCAGCTATGCTTCCTGTGAAATGAAATCTACAAAAAAGACTACCAGGGTTTCTTAAATCAGTGCATGTATTAGTTGCAAATCATTAACTATTGATTTACTTCAAATTATACTAAAGTATGTATGTATAAACAGTATAAACTGAAACGAGACCCAAGAAATGTCAGGGTAGGCAACTTTTTCTAAGCACAAACTTCCCCAATTATGCTTCAATGACAGTAAATAAATGGCCTTTGATTCAATACTGACAATAAATATATATAATTCTTAAGATATATGAGATCTACTCATTCTGATAACAGCATTTATGTAGCAGGCTTAGCTCTGTAAGAAGTAATAGTAAAGAGAGATACAAAACTGTTAAGAATGACAACTTTTACTGGCATTGAGCTAAAATGATTTTTATGACAAAAGGTGATAGATCTATATAAACACCATTCTCATAATACATTTTTAATGAAAACACAGAAGGAAAAAACAAAAACAGGTAAGTACTTGTAAAATTGTAACATTTATCTCTAAACAACAATAAGAAACATATTTCTAACAAAAAGCATCATTTTGAAATTAAAAAACAATACCAAAAGAAGTATCTCATATTTTCCTACTTAACCATGTGAAATTCCAATGAGAAAGGTCTGTAGAAGTGTGAAGAAACATGTTTTAGAGTAATAATTGTTCTGACTACTTTTTAAAAGCACCCCAAGATAATCTGATTTATTCCTATGTCCATAATCTTATATTGGTTAAATTTCTATAACATGTTCTAATCTTAAACATATTTTTTAAAGCCAATTTTGATTTGTATTTATGTGTTTCACGGGAAGTTCAAGTGTATTAGCCACAGGAGGTAAGACAAGTTCAGGGCCTGAGTACTGCCGGCTTGTGAAAAAGAAGCCTAAATATTTCAAAAGTAGTATACATTTTAAAAGACAACGAAATATTAACTGACCTTCACTAGTAACCTGGGAAAAAAGGATTAAATTTTTTTTCCCAAGAGTATCTTCTCTTTTACCCATTCTGAAATGTAGAATTAATTCTTATCTTTAAAGAAATGGAAATTTTGTAATAGGTAATTTCAGTGTTTAAAAAACTAATACTTACAGCTTTCTTTCCTAGTTCAGTCTTTGACAATGTTAAGGATCCTGCAAGATAGCATCCAGGTCCTGCCCCTTTAGGTATTCTAAACAAGAGAATTCAAAGGGAAAAAAAGCAACAAAAGAGAAAGTTTCACAAAGACAAGTAAGGGGAAAAACATGAAAACAATTCCACATTGAATTCATTCCCATAGCTAAGACTTCAAAAATCAAAGGAAGAAATGACTTCAGCCAAAAAAAAAAATGACAACATACTTCAAATTTAGCCTAGATGTCATAAACTTACATTAAAAGGACTACAGTGTATAAGATGGGCAGTAAGTATAAGCAATGTTATCACTTACTTATCGTCAGGTAAAGAAGTAACAAAGAATGGCTGGTTATATTTGGGTGGTAATGTCAAGTTGCTCGATTTCTTCTTCCCTAGAAGTGCAAAACTATGATTTTCATGAATATCTAAGCTCAAGGTATTAGACAATCTATGAGAAACAATAAATGGAAGGTCTTTAAGGCGTTCCAAATCACTGATTTGCTCATGGCGAATTTGCAGTCGAATTGTATAATCTCCTTTCTCCAGTTTCAAAGAATACTAAAAAAGAAAAACAACATTTGGGAAAAGTTAAGTTTAACCAAGTCAATGGAAATCACTGAAAGAGGATACAGTGAAAGTTGCCATTCACAGACTTGCTTATAATATGTGAGGTACAGTGCAAGGCACTATCCAGACTTTCATATACACACAAAGTCCCTAGTATGCTGGTCAGCAGACAGGACCAGGGACGTCAAGTGACTTGCCTAACATCACACAGAGTAAAGTATAAGAGAGCTGGAGTCAGGTCTGACTTCAAAGCCCTTATTCTTTCCAAAAATATTAGCAAAATTGGGGCACCACAGAATATCTAAGACAAATACACACACGTAACTTATGACTACTGGTAATCCTTATTTACTTTTAGAGACGGGGACTCGCTATGTTGCCCAGGCTGAAGTGCAGTGGCTGTTAACTGGTGCAATCATAGTGCACCATAGCCTAGAGCTCCCGGGCTCAAGCAATCCTCCCATCTCAGCTTCCTGAGTAGATGGGATCACAGACATGTGCCACCATGCCCAGCTGATCTTCAAATTACAACCAAAATGTCACTCCTTTATTACAGACTTGAAACAAACAGGAAACCAATAGAGGTCAAGGAATACAAGTTTATTACCCAGGTAACAGGTTCAAGAGGATGAGACGCTGTATCCTGTGTCAGTCACTTTTTCTGAGATTTAAAAAGTAACCAAAGTAATAGCACTGCAGTAGGCCATTCTGTAATGAGATGTGACTGCTACTTGCTTTGAGGAAAATAGGTATCACTCCTTTAACAACGAATTGAAAAAAATCTCCATAAATTATTTTCATTTGTCAGCATAAAATTATACATGTTACAGGAAATGTCTCATTTCTTTGCAGTAATCTCTAAGGGATAAAATATCTATAAATAATGTGATTTTTCTCTTCAATAAAACAGCACAAAGCATAGTGCCTGGTATGTAGTAAGTGCTCATTACAGAGTTGTCCAGTAAGGTAGCAAATTTAAAAGTACAAATGAACTGAAGACACGTGGCCACTGCTGCAGTGCTCTCTTTAGCCCCCTCAGACTTAGGATCATTTCAAGAGGCTCACATATCTTTGATGTATGCTTTGATCTACCTTCAGGTAGGTAGAATCAGTGTATAGGAAGGAGAAACACTACACACACCAAAAGTTATGCTGGCCAATGTGGCAAGCTTCACCTTTGTCCTCCTCTAATTCAGCACAACTACATGGTGAAAGAGTTGACACAATCTGTTCCTCACCAACTACAACAAACAACAGGCTCTTATGGTTTGTGAAAGTACTAAATGCAAAGCTATCATTTTCTTTTTTTAAAGTATGAACGTTACCATAACAAGAAACCAGGATTTTGTTAGTTCAGGAATGAGCTTCTGTATTTTATACCTGATGTGGATAGGCATCACCTGAACCCATCTGTCTTTTGTTCTGGTCAAAAATAATCCACAGTTGGCTGTCAAATTCAGATTCATATAATAGTTCGCAAAGTAGTGGGCAGCTTGGAGTTACTTCCCCACTCTTGGGCTATTAAAAAAAAAAAAAAAAAAGGATTACTTTGCATGATTTGCATATAATTTCTGATACAAATTTTTAATACTGTTATTGACATGAGACTTTTTCATTTAAAAATGAAAAGTACTTGTGGCAAAAAATTTTGAAAATATAGAACACATAGTATTTTGGCACTTATAAAAGTCACTGCTCTCTTACAAACTTTTGAAAACACACACCTGGCTATGTGTATTCATTAATAAAGCAATATATACATATTTCAGGACCTCTAATTACTTTATAAAACTGTAATCTGAAAACTCACTGAAACCAATTCATTTCCCTAACATTATAACCAAACTGATGTGTGTTTCAGTAACAGTTTTATTGAAATCTCATTGATCCAGCATTTACACTGGCCTCCATTACTTCCGCCACCCATTCCACCTGGGAGCTACTCTGATCTTTTCCTGTTCCAGTGCCTTCTTCACAGAAAGCAATCAGGCCCAGCACCATCATCAGAAGACAGATGGTATTTCTGAGCCTTCTAATCATCCCTGGGTCAGATGGACAGTGATCAGTGATTTTATCAACTAAGGCTCAAGGTTAGGTCACCACTCAATTACATTTTGTGACTTTACGACTGAATGGCATTTAATTACAAATTATAATTTCCTAAAGAGTAATTCCAAATTAACCAATGTTAATCACTTGATTCTGTTTTATATATATACACCATATACACTGTCCTTCCATTTTTGATTTTATGAATCATAAATAAAACACAAAAGTTCATCCTTTACTAGGCAAACACTTACTTGATGAAAGTTATATGTCAGGACCATCTCATAAAGTTGACGGTTATTTGGCAAAACATCTCTTGATCCTAAAGGTTTTGTTTTTGCACTCACTGGGCTGTAATGAGGAAACTACATAACTGGTTTGATTCAAGAGTTCATTGAAACAGACAAAACTATAAGCAACAAAATCTGTAACATATTGCAAGAAGTGACAGATGAACCTTCCTGAGAGCTATCTTTTTCAGTATACTCTACAATATTTTAACCATTAACTTACATAATTCTTTGATTGAATCATATCAATACATACAGTTTAAATTTTGCAATAAATATTACAAAGGCAATCTTTTCATGGCAAAAACATTTTCAAATACCAACAAATACCTCTTAACACAACCAAATCCCAACACTAGGGTGACAACTAAAAGTGTTGTAAGACAGGTTCTGATTTGTACTCCTTGTGCAAACTATTGACAGTACTGTGTTGTGCACAGTACAGACCTCCCCAGGCCCCGGGTGCTCACCAGATAGCAGGGGCCACATTCAGCCCTCCTCCTGGCCGAGGGAATGGTATTTCATATTTTTAGTAGTCCTCTGAAGGAAGCTGCTAACGTTCAGATTTTATAAAGGAGAAAACTGACACTAAAAAGCACGTTTTAAATATAGTTTAAAATGTCAGTGAAACATAATCTACTCCTTTAAATTTAGCTCCAATTTTTTAGATTTAGGAAGACAACATTAGAATGATATAAATTGGATCTATCTTCAAAGTTGGATGTTTTAATTTTTATTGATAATTCTAGGAAGCGGTGTATCTTTAGACATTACCGTGTCACTGACTATTGTCCCTAAATGGTTATTTTAATGCACTTATGACTAGGCTGCATGCTGATGAGCAACAGAAACCAGGTATCTTTATAACACAGTGAGTATGTGAACACAGGTCACAGTGCCCTGCTTTTGTAAGGGGAGGTGCTGAGGCACAAACAGCAGGCTACAGTACTTAAGTTTCTACCATTCAATAAAAATTTCAGTATTGCAGTTTCTACAAAAGATTGCATTAGGACTCACAAAATAATATCAGAGAGAATGTTAACTTGCTATTTTACGGCAAGAAATAAAAAGGTGAATGTCCACTGATCCTAACTAGTCATGACAGGGATCGGCTATCCACCATCTTTGACTTTGCTGGTCAGGTGGGACAGTGAGGCTGGAAGCTGATACTGGGACTGCCTTGCAGAGATCGGCAAGGATAAAATTCTCACCTCTAGCATGCAGATGGGTTAAAAAAAAAGGCTCTTTTTTCAGAGTGTAAGAGATCCCCCCAATCTCTATTCAATATTTGTAGTCCCTAAAACATTGAATGATACCGTAGTGTTTGGACCCAGTTCTTCAAAGTTATGCAGGGAGCCAGATCTTCATATTTCAAGGAGGACTGAACATCAAAACGGTTGATTCCTTCCGACGCATGCTACAAAGGATATTTGTCAAATTAGTTTCTCAAACTTTACGAAAAATAAGCAATATTTTGTACCTAAAATAAATGTGTCTAATATAAAGTTTATAAGTACCCACACACAAAGCCTACTATTATCTTCAGAACCACAGGTAATTACCCTCATTAAAGTTTAAATCTAACCAATGAAATTACTCTCCAATAACACAAGTAACTGACATTAAAAATCATGAAAATGTTATGGAACTTACAATGTTTAACTGAGGAGCAGTACACACTATCCCATGGAAAGAAATGGTATAATCAATGTTGACATCACTGAGACTTGCCCACCAACGAGCAATGCAAAATTCAATTGCTTTTCCACCCTGCAAATAAAAGTAAATAAAATATATCTCTTATTTTTCTCAAATTACAGAATATAAATACTAGCTGTTTCAGAGCAATTCCATGTTTTCAAACTTTTCCTATTTGTAGCAAGAAAACCCAAAAATTTGAACAGCTATGCTAAGAGTTAGACAAATCATTTGCATGTATATTTGCAAAGATATGGTGCAAGTATTTAAATATACATAGTTATTTACTGATAACCCTATGCTTCTTGTCAAAAAAGATCCTAGGCAGCTTCTGAAAGCACATATAATAAAGCAAATGTGATCTGATTACTTCAAAGTGAAATAAAAAATTAGGACGAAAAGAAAAATAATCAAGTATAATGACACAAGAAAGATACTACAACTTTGTAAGGTATACTCAATAGGCACAGTTGAGTTTGGGCTCAAAGCTGCCTGGCAACTAAAACAAAATGACATTACGGTCATTTACATCTTTCTCCCTGTTAAAAAACAAAGATAAGAAAAGAAAAAAAAATTGCTCTTTGCACTGAGTTTTAAAGTACGTTTTCTAGCAATCAGTGAATTTAAAAGTTTAAAAAGATGAATCATGCAACGCTGATCCATGGAAGAACACAAATGAAAAGTAACCAGAAACAAAGAGATACTGCGAAAATCCCACAACCAACTGAAAACACAAAGGAGCGAGTTGAAGGAAGAACATCAGTACTCTTTCTTCTGTGGAAGAAAGACTAGTCATCGTTTCCAACACCACAGATAAGAATGTAGTGCTGCCATCATTTGAGATAACTTAGACATGAAGCAGTAGCAGTCTTCCTCTAATGCAAATTAGCCTCATAGCTTCTTAACAACACAGCATTAGTAAAATAACTTAAGTGACATGCAAACAAGTCTTAAAGAAATTAATCTACTGTACAACAAAGAATAATCTAAATCAAGGTCCAAACTACAAGACACACCAGAACCTACCAGACTAGTATGTTTCTTTGATTAAACTATTCAAGAATTACAGAGATAATTACCTCTAACTTGATTTCAAGTACCCTAATTAGATTTTCTATCTTCCTACTTCATTTTCTTTGGCATTAAAAAATATATTATCCCAATGTGCTAAATACAAAATATAAAATCAAATGCAAATACTTAGTCTTGCCCATACCAAAAAGGCAAACTGTTTTAGGATTATAAACTGTAGTTAAACTTACTAGGACAGGAAAAGCTTCAGTCAGTGTTCCTTTCTCTGGAAGAGAACAAAACTTATAGAATTCATGGCTTCGATATGCTCTTTGCTTCACAAGCTGGACTGCATGAAGAACAAACTTTGCTGACACCTCAGAAGAACATGAACACACTGTCACTTCTAAAATAAGAAAGAAAGAAGCAAAGCTTTAAACTTGTAAGACCTAAAATTGACATAAAGTGGCTTTAATAATGCCCACTTAGGGAATAATTCCCATGTAGGGAATTAACAGGAATCAAAAATAAAATGATACACTCAAATCTGCATATTTCCATAAAAACAAATAATCAATAAAATATTAAAAAAGTTAGAGGAGTAGAAGATTTTCTATGGGAAAGAAAGAAACTGGTATTAAAATGAACCAATATCATGATGCTGTAAACACCTGGAAACAGCAGGCTGTCCACAGATGCATACACAGTTATATTAATTGGGTACCTTTTAAAATCCCTCCTCATTTTAGCTGCAAACCAATCAATTCCAGAGAAAGGTAGGTAGGTTTCATTTTTGGAAACCTTTATTTGTTATCATGCCTCAATTCCTCATTGATAACTCTTCCTAATCTCTCTTCTTGGTCTACTTGTGTGCTGTGTGCTTCTACAAAGCCTGGCAGGACTACACATGCTTAACTTTACTCTGAGGCAGCGCTGGAGGTAAGCCAAGATCACCGCAATGCCAGATTGGCAGCTTCTCTAAAGAATACCCAAGCTATTCACAATAGCAAAGACTTGGAATCAACCCAAATGTCCATCAGTGACAGATTGGATTAAGAAAATGTGGCACATATACACCATGGAATACTATGCAGCCATAAAAAAGGATGAGTTTGTGTCCTTTGTAGGGACATGGATGCAGCTGGAAACCATCATTCTTAGCAAACTATCACAAGAACAGAAAACCAAACACCGCATGTTCTCACTCATAGGTGGGAACTGAACAATGAGATCACTTGGACTCAGGAAGGGGAACATCACACACCGGGGCCTATCATGGGGAGGGGGGAGGGACTGCATTGGGAGTTATACCTGATGTAAATGACGAGTTGATGGGTGCAGCACAGCAACATGGCACAAGTATACATATGTAACAAACCTGCACGTTATGCACATGTACCCTACAACTTAAAGTATAATAATAATAAATAAATTAAAAAAAAAAAAAAAAAAAAGAATACCCAAGCTAATTCAAGGGAACTGAAGCAAGGCGCAATCCCGTGGCTGACAAAACCAAGTGGGCACAGAGCTCTCAGGACCTAGTCAGTTGCTAAGAATACAAAATCTAGTGTTATGACAATATTTCTAATTATTTGAAATAAAACTAAGACTGTTAAATGCTCTGAACTACTTGCATTCTAGATCACTGGATAATTTTTATTCAAAAAACAAATTCTTTTCAATACCGACCTAAACCAATCATAAATCAGTGCCATTTATCACTAAACAAATACCCAATTCAGTATTATAGATTTGTATTCTTTAATTTACTAGTGCACAGGTTACCAGAGCCTGGAGCTGTACAACTCCAAGGGGCCCTATGAGAATGGTACCCCAGAAATGTTGAACACAGCAACTCTGAGTCCACTCCCTAGAAGTACCGTCAAGTGTGAGCGAAATCCCAACGAAGACAAGCTATGTATCAAGTACTCTATAAAATCCCTGAGCCTTACAACAGACTAACAACTATATTTATAGTTGAAACAGAAGTTCAGAAAATTTAGAAACCTGCCTTCAGGTAACCATTAGTGTATGGCAGAGTGTGGATCCAAACTCAGACTTCTCAATTTCCAAAGCCCATGGCCTTGCCGCTACCCTGTGCTGTCTCCCTCTAATCCAGTTCTCTTAATTACAATGTCTTGGACTAGATGCTTTTAAGGCCTCTGGAAGCTGGGTCCTTGTCTAAGTAGCTCACCACCTTAGCCCGTTGAAAAGGGCCTGGCACACAGATGGTACAGAAAAATATGCTTAATGAATGAGTCTAGTACAACCCCTGATTATCCTTAGAAGCCTCTCAATGCTGCAATAGCTCCATTATAACCCAGTATGCAAATTAACAGGCAATATTGAGTACTGTTCAATTCATTGCTTTAGCTCTCAGCTTTTGCTATTATTTTGCCCTTACCTAGTTACATAAAACAAGGAAAGTCTTGTATTTCCTGTGATACCAGGTAACAAACAGATGGACTGCATACAGATAGATGACCACAAGATGGTATGGGGAACCAAATACAACCAGTTATTCCCAAACCAGGTCATACATGTGTGGTATCAATATTGCATTTTCAATAAAGTCTCAGATGTAAATATATTTGTACTTTCATACAAGTACAAAAACACACTCCGGAGTAAAATACAAGCCATTTTTACTAATGGCACCTATCTACCTTATAGGGTTCTGATGGGACTAGACAAGATAATCTCTGTAAAGTGCTTAGCAGAGAGGCCAAATCCAAGAAGTATCAACAATGCTGGCTACTAATTTAAATTGGGTGACACTTGCTTGACTGCCCATATTTGCTTCCTTCTACCAATGTGAGTGAGCTCTGACAACTGACACACCCCTCCATACTGACTGTTAAATTGTAAATTTAGGACATATAACTTGTGAAGGAAAATATGGTATACCCACAGCTTTTGCATAAAAGAATGACATGAGCACTCTCACAGGACTATAACATGTTAATTCAAGAGCTTTGTGTTAGGCAATCATTTACTCTCAAAATTTCGGAGACACTGAAGTGAAAATCTCTCATAAACAGAGCTTCAAAGATTTAAAAGCTCTATTTCTAAAATTGTAAGAGTTTAACAGTTCGAGGTTTAAGCAATGCTGCATTGTTTAAACTGATTTGTAGTATTTTAAAAATTAGGCCAGGCGCAGTGGCTCATGCCTGTAATCCCAGCACTTTGGGAGGACGAGGCGGGTGTCTCATGAGGTGAAGAGATCGAGACCACCCTGGCCAACATGGTGAAACCTCGTCTCTACTAAAAACACAAAAATTAGCCGGGCATGGTGGCGCACGCCTATTAGTCCAAGCTACTTGGGAGGCTGAGGAAGAAGAATCGTTTGAACCAGGGAGGTAGAGTTCGCAGTGAGCCAAGATCATGCCACTGCACTCCAGCCTGGCACAGAGTGAGACTCCATCTCAAAAAAAAAAAAAAAAAATTACTACCAGATAAGGCATTATTCTAAACTAAGCTCAAATCTTAAATACTAAAAACATCTTAAGATGCCTTAATTTGCTGTATGGGCCAATGCAAAATATTACTAGATCTTAAAAACGTTTTGAACTTTACAGAAAGTCTAAGGTGCCCAAATATATATATATTAGTACCATTAGTACCAGGGAAATACATGTTACAGATAAATGAACCTCATATAGCTATAGTCATTAGAATGTAAACAGAGATAAGTGGTCACGTGGATTTTAATTTTACCTACCAGCCCATGTTGCACCCTCAGGAACCTCAATAAAATGCCTTCGAATTTGGCCAGGTTTAAAGTGTACATCTGTAAAGGCTAGATCGTAATGTGATGATTCATTTACTCTGAAAATTAATAAAAATAATTAAATGTATATGCGTATTAAAAGACCACAGATACTCTGGATTTTATTGGATAAATGCAAAATTTATCCAATTCATTAGAAATAAACACAGGGACTTAGAAGCTGGTTACAAAACAGTATGTACAATATTATTCAATTTCTGCAGTAGGTTAGCAGAGACAACCTCTGAATAGCAGAGTACAGATGATTCCATTTTTTGTCTATTTTATGATTTTTAAGATACATTCACACACACTATTAAAAAAGCATTCTCTTTTTTGTTAAAGGCATTCTACAACATTCACAGAATTTTCCAATTACCAGATTCTAAACTACAGTGAGTCCTAGATATTAAAATCAGTGACAAAGTTTTATGTCACTGATATTATAGCTATGAGACTAATGTTAAATTAAGCTCCTCCTGTAGCTTCAAAACACTCCCATGATGTAAAATAGTAAAGAAAAGGCAAACTACTTTCAAAGTATTTTTGTAAGAAATCAATGAAACAAAGTTTAAATTCATAACTACCCACCATGGAAACAAATTTTATGCTAGAGACAAATTCTTGTCAGTAGGACAGTTAAGTGAGTGCCTACGACATACGAGGCCCTGTTATTAGGAGCTAGAAAAGGTAACAAAGAAGAAAATATGATTCTTTACCCTAGACAGTCTAGCATGGAGAGAATCATCATCAGAGACATTTAACATAAGATGCTCCAGATAGACAGGAAGAGTTAGGGAGCCTGGGAAGCTTCCTAAAGGAGATTGAGTGGCAGCTGACTCCTGAAGGTCTTACATATTACCTTGTCTAAATTACTACTGGATTTTGAGGGAATATACGGCTGAGAATTTAACTGCTGCACAATTTTCCCATGTGTACACCACTTTTTAAATTTATTCTCCTCAATTTCGTCCTGTTTCTCATGGGCAGGTATCTGTTGCATACTTAATATTTACCAGAGTAACTAACAGAACTGTTAAAGTTTAGAATTTCCACTTGGCTTCCAGTACTCTCACAATCTCATTCTCACCTTCATCCACTAGATAATTTATTTCATACATCCTGTATAACAGCAGTCCCTGTGCCTTCAGTGGACTCACAGTCAAATAGTGTAAGTTAAATAAAAAATTACAAAATATTGGCTGAAGTCTGTTCAGGGGCATGTAAAATGTCCCACGAAGCAGAAAGAAGGGGCTCCCTTCACCCAGGGATGACCAGGAATGCACTTGGTCATTAACTGAAGAGACAGGAAACTGAAACCAAGTTATCAGCTGTGTACATGCACAAATCCTGAGAAACCTGGAGTGCCAAAATCAGTGAATTGGCCAAAATGTGTAATTTGGTGTACGGAAAGGCAGGAAACACTGTCTACAGCTATAACTGTGAGGGAGATTGTGTGCTATTTTAAGGAGCTTGAACTTGATCCTTGGAGGTGCCACTGATATATTTTAAGCAGGAAGTAATATAATCTGCCGATTTTTTCCTTGGTTCCTGGGGAATAAGATGGAAAGTTAAGACTTTCTTAACTTCTGTTTCTACAGTAGATAACTAGAAAAGTGGGAGCATTAAGAGAAGAGAGTAAATCCCAAACATGGGGGAGACAAAAAGGGCAGGAATGGAGGAGAATGAAGTAATATTGTCAAATATTGCAGTGGGATCAGATCAGATGAAGGTTGAGTTAGCCTCTGAACTGGGCAATACAGAGCTCAGAGTGACTCTGGTGGAAACAGTTTTGATGTAGAGGCAGGGGAGATGCCAGGTGCCATCAGTTACTCTCAGAGTGCACAAGAGACAGCATGGCTGACTACATGACACCTAAAAATGCTAGCTGGGAGCAGAACTAAGACAAAATCCCCACTACCCGGTTCTGTATTAGTGATCCCTTAAAAGTTCACAAGACTCCATGAATAGCCATTAAAATCTTAGAAGTAACAGTAAGCTGTGAGTAACCTGTTACTTACTTGGCTGCTATAACTGCAGTGATGGGAACTCGGAAGAGCGGACCTGCGTTAGGGGATGCTATATCATAGCCACATACCTTGAAAAAAGAATTGGTAAGTTTCAGTATCCATAAACAAACGTTTAAAAGGGGGGGAAGAGGTCTAAACTATTGACAGAATAAATCAATCTACTCTTAATATGTCAAGGTCTTAACCGCAGGCTGACACCAGTTTCCTGACACTAGGTCACATAATTAATAGCAAACAGTCCAAACAAATGTATAGCAACATTTGACTAGTTCAAATGGGAAAATGAGACGTCAAGTACAAAGTAAGTGCATTTTAATTACTCCCAACTGAAAATTAGCTCAAACTAGTACTATAGATAACTTTAGATGTGGAGACACTGTTGTGATACTATTCTATGCCTGGTTTACAACTATTTGTTTAACAGATGCTTTCTTCATCTGAGTACTAAAAGGTATAACTAGCTGGGTGTGGTGGTTCACACCTGTAATCCCAATGCTCTGGGAGGCCAAGGCAGGAGGATCACTTGAGGCCAAGAGTTCAAGACAAGCCTGGGCAACATAGAGATCCCATCTCTACAAAAATAAAAAAATTTAGCCAGGCTTGGTGGTGCACGCCACTAGTCCTAGCTACTCAGGAGGCTAAGGTGGGAGTATCCCTTGAGCCCAGGAGTTCAAGGCTGCAATGAACTACGATCACACCACTGTACTCCAGCTTGGGCAACAGAGCAAGACTCTGTCTCTTAAAACCACAACAACAACAAACAAGAAGAAGAAGTAACTGCAGCTTTGTGCAGCTGACAAAATACCAGTTAGAGGAAGACTTAATTGAAAGGTTCTGCTGTACCTCTTCTTTCTTTCTACTTATTCATACAAGGACAAAAGATATTCTTTAGAAACTTCACTGCTTAAATGAATACAGACACACCAGAAGAACTGCATAACCTGGGAGGTGGATAGGTCTAGCTATTTCTTAGCAAGAAAGCAATACATTGCAAATATACTTTGGATTTTTTTTTAACCTTTTAAACATTTTAAAGAGTGAAGAAAGTAAAATTGAAGATACATCAATACCTCTGTATAATGCAATCCTTCTCTTAAGCCCCTGGGATCCACACGTATGTTTATGTGTCTACATTGATTCATGAGTTCCAAATGGCTAGGACACTGAACCCAAGATGAATTTGAAGTCAGAGCTAAATGAAGCTGAAGGGATATTTTTTCAGAGTTTTCTGGCACGAAAAAGACCAAAAATTAAAGATGAGCATTTTTTTCTTTTTAAAAATGTTGCATCTTCCCAAATAAATTTAGCAACTTAGTTTGGTTGGCAGTAAAATGCATCCAAAACACAGCTTAAATAAAACAGTCAAACAATCTTCCTTACAATTTAGATTATTCATGATTCATTTATACTTTCACCAAGCACTGGTATGACCTTAAAATAAAGAGTTTAAGTGAATGTTTTCATTACTGCACACAGGTAATAGTATTCAACTGAAATGAAGACAGCCAGATAATAGTGATGACTATTTTTTTTCACACCTAATCAAGCTGCAATTCTCCTAGAGTGCTTCTACTTCTCATTCTTCAACTGAAAGCTCTCTCTTATACCTAAGCAGGTAAAGTGGAAAAGGAATTTGATGTTTTATCATCCACAATTTAATAAAGCTGTGGGTCACTGAGGCTCATTCTACTGTTTTCTTTGGTAGTTTAAGATGCTAACTAAATTGCCATTGTACAAGGACCCCAAATTGCTCTAATATTTTCTCTTATGACTGTAAGATTTAAAATAATCATACTGGCAATTCATGTATTCTCTTCATAACACTGGCCCAAACAGCAATTCTTTATTATGATACCACTCATTCAAATAGCAAATGTGAATACTTCAGCTTACTGCCAGCCTATTACTGACCTGTGTTCTCTGGAAATACAGGTTCAATGCCAACGCCATGATCTGAAGGTGCAGCCACCTGAACAGGATCTCGGAGGTAGATGCCACGGTTATTTCCAACAGTAACAGTAAAACCTAATTTATTAGCAAATGATGTATTCTGAACGAGGTAGTCATAGGCTTTATCAACCTAGTGAAAAGAATATACATGATAAGATATAAACAGTTGGGTCAAAAAATATTTTGTTGCAAATTACCAATCAATTTGATTTCAGTTGTAAAACAAATAGTGTTTATATTCACTTCTCAAAACTACCTGGTACCCCAACTAAGAGGATAATTCTACATTTTTAGAAACAATACCAGTCACATCTTCCACTCCACCCTATTCACACTGTTATTCTCAAGTGACCAAATTTAGGAACTAATCCCTATGCCATTATGATTGGACAGTTTTTGACCTCGATTTCTTTGCTTTGAATTTCTAACCTCTACATGGCCTCCATCTACTACATTTCCCGATCTTAGTGCAATAGATTTGTCTTAACTACAAAATTTGTTTGTGTATCCTTTTTGCTTAAGAGTTATATGGCCATATAATCTATAATTCAGATATACTGAATCGTTGTTATAAAATGAAATATTACCCAATAATACCTAAGATATTATCTTAATGATACTTTACAACCCATTTTTCATATAGGCAACAATACCTGAATAATACCATGTCCTTGAGCAAATACTTCTATATTGTCAGCCTTCACTGCAGTGTTTTCTAGAGCTCTTCTGACTGAATGAACTGTGTAGTCAATGTTATTAGCTTTCAGACCTAAAATTAAGAAACAAAAACAAGTAGTGTAGTACTCACTATCTGAAACCTTAGCCGCCCAACAGTATGATCACCTGTAGACTCTCTGGTTTTAATGTCTTGTGTTTTAACACTCATTTTAAAATCTTTTTTGAAGACCTGAACTAAATAATCTGACTCAAACTGCTTACGTCATATGAAGGTTTTATTCCACAAAAATCACATGTTCTCATTATGTGGTGGGCAGAGACTCTGGTGTGGGTTTTGTACCATAATATAAATGTACAAAGCAGACACCGAAAGGCACGTGAATGACATTTTCTTTAAAACACTGCTGGGTTAAACAAGATGGCTGTTGGCGTTATAAGCCCCAGGGGAACTCAAGCAAAAAAGACGCTGAGGTCTCAAGACAGACCAATAAAATCAGAATCTCTGACGACTGTCCCAGAGATTGCTATTTATTAAACACCTCTCAGATGATTCTAGGGTACAGCCAGGTTGGGAATTACTGTTTTATGGGAAGAATATGGAGGCCACCAATTCGTAAGATGAGTGCTGTATCATTCTTGTCCTCTCCAGAGCTCATCAAACATACATACATTGATGATACTGTCAGACACAACGCAAGCATGGAAACACTATGAATTTATAACAGCAAATCAAGGAAATGACCAGTTTTGTGAGAATCTAAAAAAGGTGAAGCTCCATCAGAGGAACTGACATATGAGCCGCCTCTTAGAGAACGTATAGGAGTGTTCAAGGCCACAACATGGCAGAAAGGAGTACACCCAAAGATGGAGGCCAAGAGGCCTTGAAATATCTGGTGAGGCTGAAGAGAACTAGAAACAGGGTCATGTTAGGATCCATCCTAAGAGTGTGGGCTCAACCTAGAAAAGGATGGTAGCACTTGACAGTGGTATATCATCACAGGTTTATGCTGGTAGCACCAGTGTGGACAGGCCATGCTGAGGAGATGTGGTCAGCAGAAGAAACTGTGGTGTGGGTCAGAAAAGGGGTGAAGAAAGGAGGTAGAGGAGAGACAACTTAAAGAGGGACATTTCTGTGGAGGGAGTTTCATAGCAGCCTGGCTACCCTAAATGTGAGTCCTGGCTAAACCCAGTGTCACTCTATTTAATCCTGGGCACCACTCTAGAAACCCCTCCTTCTCTTTCTACCTCATTTTGCTCACAGTATCCATTAACTTCTAACACGCAACATCTACAGTTTTTTATTTTGTTCAAAGTCTGTTTATCCCAACCATAATGTATATGATATAAACTCCACATAAGCAGGTATTTTTGATGCTTTGTTCACTAATTTAGCCCCGGAGCTAAAATACTGCTTGATCGTCGTTAACAAATATACTACTGAATGAATAAATACACATTCAAATTGTCATTATCACATAAGTTATTTGTTACCTTGAATTCTACTTTGTGCCAAGGGAATTATCAATTCTACCACATGTTCTTACCATGAGAGCTTCAGAAAACAAAAATATCTGTCTGCAATAATGTAAGGACAATAAGGAACATGCTTACCTGAAAGGATCAGGGCAATGCCTCCACATGCATTGGGGGAAGACATAGATGTTCCATTCATTAGCTGCGTCCCTCTCAATGTCCAGTTAGGAACAGAAGCAATGGCTCCTCCTGGTGCACTGATACTCACACCAAGGGCCCCGTCAGCACTAAATGGAAAGCCATTGAAGTTTGCTTAGGATAGTGAAAGCTCAACATAACACGGGCATTTTTAAGACAGCCACTGGTTAAATCCAATAGTATAACACTGTGTACTAACTGCACTCATTACAAATAATGACAAAGATATTATGAAGAATCAATGGGGGAAAAACACCCAGCATAGCCATTTTCCCATAGGCAGCATTTATTTTTTCCTTATAAGCGTACAGAAATGTCCGTGTGTATATACATATCTGGGCATGTGTGACAGGCCATAGTGTCAGGTGTATTTAGAGAGATTAAACAAATGTCACTGTTCTGACTCTTTGATGAATGTACTTCTCTCTTATCTGTAATAAGAAACTTTCCTTTTGTTTAACGTCTAATATAGCACTGTACAATAGAAATATAATGTGGGCCATATAAATTAACATTTTCTATAAGCCACATAAAAAAAGCTAACAAGACACTAATGCAATTAATTTTAATACGTTTAACTAGACATAGCAAAAATATTAGCATTTCAACATGTAATCAATAGAAAAAAAAGAAAAATGAATTCATTTACATTTTTTTTTGTACCAAGTCTTTGAAATCTGGTGTACATTTTATACTTACAGCACATGTCAATGCAGACTAACCTCACATCCCTGATTGCTGCAATACTGGATAGCTCAAGTCTAACAGGACTGCCCAGCTGACAGCTTCAACCAAGCAAAGTCTGATGAATTAAAGCCCTTAGAATTCATAATCACATTATCATCCAACAAGGCTCTGTCCTCTGCCCCAAGTAAAGAAGGAATGGCACAGAATAGCACACTACTTCCACCTTCCTGGCAAAGTGGCCATACATTCCCCCACAGAGGCTGCCAGACTCTCCTTATACCAATCTCCCAACTGAGTGAACGATTTTACTCGGGTAAAAACACTAGGGCAATTTGGCTTTACATTTTTATAGAGAACTGAAAGCAATACATACATATTCCTCTTGAAATGGGCTGATGGCACCTCTTTTAGGAAATATCTTAGAACGATTATTATTAGGGAAATATCTGTTGACCTGTGAAGATGTTTCACGATGTAATACTGAATGACAAGTAGGTTACAAAAGTGCCTGAACAGTGTCATCTCCCACTAATTCATGGGAGAATGACTAAAAGGATGTTCATCAAAATGTCACCTGTACATATCACAGATAACAAGGTTTAGGGTGATTTTCTACCTTCTTGTTTGCACTGTATTGACTAATGGTATTCAAAATGAGCACTGGTATTTGATAGCATTAGAAAAAAATAACTGGAAAGAATCATGAATTCTGACTACTTATTGCTCTTTATTAATTTTCCACTAGCCTGTTAAAGTGGTAAATGATAAAGCATTTCTAGGTGTTTAAATCAGTATTCTAAAAATGAGTCTCAGCTGGGCATGGTGGCTCAAGCCTGTAATCCCAGCACTTGGGGAGGCCGAGGCGGGCGAGATCACTGGTCAGTTCAAGACCAACCTGGCCAACCATTGGGGTGAACCCTGGTCTCTAACTAAAAATACAAAAATTAGCCAGGTGTAGGTGGTGGGATCTGTAATTCCAGCTACATTGGGAGGTGAGGCAGAAGAACCGCGCTTGAACCGGGAGGTGGAGGTCTGCCCAGTGAGCCCGAGATCATGCCATGCACTCCAGCCTGGATGACAGATAGATAGACTCGCGTTTCAGAAGGAAAAAAAAAAAAGAAAAAAAGTCATGAAAACAGAAATGTTTCCCTTAAAATTCCAAAAACGCCAGTAATATTTTTCTCTCAATTCTATGATAATAAAACTGTCACAATCCTGGTTATGTACGCTGTGTACACTGTGCCCACGCGATGCCCATGCCTAAATTTAGTATTTTTGTATTAGAGATGAATTTCACCCTCGACTCTGCCAGGCTGGTCTCAAACTCCTGACGCTCAAATCGATCATCTCCTGCCTGCGTCCTCGCAAAGTGCTTCTTTTTTGTGGTGGTTTATTTTTTTATATGGCTGTGAGCTTCTTGTATATTGTTCTCTTGTTTTTTTTTTTTTGTTCCCATCTATTTGTTTGTGTTTTATTTGTCTTTTAAGTATACTATGTCATTCTCTTTCCTGTCCTATATTTATGTCCTGGATAGTAGTTATGCTCTGTGTGGTTATGTCTCTTCCATGTCTGTATTATAATGTTTGTCTTTTATGTGATATATGTTATATGATCATGTTCTTGTCTCTCCCCCCCCTTTATTGTGTATTTTATTGTGTTCCTATTTTTGTTGTACCAGTCTAATGCTAAGAATAAAGCAGTTATTCTTTTTGTTTTTTTTTTTTTTTTTGAGACGGCAGTCTTGCTCTGTGCCCCAGGCCTGGGAGTGCAGTGGGATCGTCGGGCTCACGTGCAAGGCCTCCGCGCCGACCCCGCCTTCACGCCCATTCTCCTGCCTCCAGTCCTCCCGACCTAGCTGGGACTACAGGCCGGCTCCACCACCTCGCCCGGCTACATTTCTTGGTATTTTTAGTAGAGACGGGGTTTCACCTGTGTTAGGCCAGGATGGTCTCGATCTCCTGACCTCGTGATCCGCCCGTCTCGGCCTCCCAAAGTGCTGGGATTACAGGCTTGAGCCACCGCGCCCGGCCAGCAAATTATTTCTAATAATATTTCATGTTTATGAAAAATGAAACAAATTCAACTCTTAGAACATCTGGTTTGTGAATCAATATCTACTTTAATCCAAGCTTCCCCCATAATTCATGAACTCCTTGGTATTTTCTTAAAATAATTCTTTAAATGTTCTATGGCAAATATCAGCAAAGGCTGGTTTAAACATTCTGTAATACTTTGTTTTTACATTGACAATAAGATAAAACTTAAAATTCCAAACTCAGTTTTAGAAGAGAGTAAGTATAATAATTTTACACTTTTATTAACTGAACATAAAACATATCAAGCTTTGCTGACTTTTGGCTCTTATCCTAAGCCACTCCTACTGAGTGTCTTCAGCTGGGCTGGCAGGGGCAGTCTACAATGACAGTGCAAAGCAAAGCTTTTTGATCCATGTGGATGTCCACAGCCTGGTTGTTTTCAATGACATTTGATAATAAACCAAGATTAAGTTTATTTTTTAAAGAGGAATCACCTAGAGAAAATGAGGAAGATACCTGTAACTCAAAGAATGTAACATTATTGCATCTCACCTGAACACAATTTTTCTAATCTTATCTTCCAATATTTCCCACTAATCTTATACTTCAAACATACTCAGTTACTAGTTATTTCCTCAAAAAACTTTACTCTAAAACCTGCTCATCTTTGGGTTCATGTTATTCTTGGCATATAGAACTCTTTTCTTCTGTCTCTCAACATCCTATCCATCCTTTAAGGCCAACTTCAATACCATTTCCTCCATGAAGGGGTCAAGTGATTGCTCCCACCTCTGGAGTCCCATCATATTAAAACGGCATTTGAAACTCAGATCACAAACTGTTCATTTATGCCTTGCCCACTGTAGGCACTAAGGTATTTGCTGAACTAAATTAAAAGTCTATTCTTTTTATAAATTAACTCCAAAGAGATGAATTAAAGTAGGCTTTATTTTTCATAAGGTTTATGTGCCCGTTGATCGTATAATGAAGAATTACATAATTTAGGACTTAATACACCCCTTGAGAAAATTAGTTCCCGGAATCAGATAAATATAGTTCAGAGGGCTTCAGGGAACCAAAAGAGATAAACTTCATTTCTCAATCAGAACTTGTTTACTTACGGATCTCACCCAAAATTGCTCAAAGTAAGTTATAACTTCAAAAACATGAGCCACAGGTATGTGGGCCCTATAACTGTGATGCTTTATAATAAAGCTCAGGGCTTTTGTTTCACCAAAGTTCAAATATCAAAAATTATTCAAAACTAGGCCATCACTACTATATAAAGATAGCCAAGTCCCCACTTTTTCTTTAGATTCTTATAAATGAAGAATTATGGATATAGGAATAAGAATTTATACTCAGAATAGTGATGTTCTCCATGTAACAACGACACTATTTCATTTATTTTAATTATCTGTCCTTGAGATAAGACTGTAAATCAAAATGAAAATACTGAAAAAAAGTAAAATCAACAGAAAAAAACTAGCAAACTTATCTAAAACTCTGCCCTTCTCAACAATGTAAAGTTTAACCAAATATACGTACTGGTCCCGTGTTCTACCTATACCTACCTAGGTCCTCTAGAAGACCAAGTGTATTGATTTGCAGGTAATTTCTCTCTCAGTGAATACTCAGCAACCATCATATCAGGAGAAACATAAGCACCAACACCTATGGGACGGATTTAATCATTAAGAAAAGAAAACAAATAGGGATTCTGATTCTAAATCCACTGTTGGCTTGAGTGAACTGCCTAATCTCTCAACACCAGTCCTCTCTCTAATACAATGAAAGAATAAAATTTAATAAGGAAACAAGGAAAGTCTACTATGTACCACACATTTTACTAAGAACTTTGCTTTTGGATACAAAATACCTATCTCCCAGGATTATTTTACAAATTAAATATGCTAATGCACCTAAAAGCATGCGTTTATATTTCTATGAAACAACTTATTTCAGTCCACTTTAAATTATAGTCAGTTCTAGATGTGCCGGTTCCCCTACTAGACTGTAAGTTTCCTGAGGACACACTTAAAGTGTACAGTGTCTTACACATAATAGAGATACAAGTAACATTTTATTAATTATTGTTTTTTGTTTGCTTGTTTTTAAACAAATCTATTTCTAAAACAGGAAACTAACCTATCACACTTGATGTAGTTCCACCTGGACAACCAACTGTAGACAGGCATGGACCATTATTTCCAGCACTTGAAACATAAATTATATTATGCTTCCATACTGCTTCATTAATTACTTCACAAATTCTCCTGAAAAAGAGATAATTCCTTTGAATATATAATCAGCCTCTATTCCCAAAGTGTATATAGTACCAAAACCTTGTTTAAATATATGGTTACATAAATTTTGGTACATCCACCTTTGGTGGGACATGATACAGCTATTCTAGGTGATATACCCTACTTGGGCTTCAGGGTAGGGAAGCAATTATAAGGCCAAATGAAATGTGGGAAAAATGCTAGATGTAAAACAAAAATATATGGGAAAATATACTACAAGGTAGTAAAATATTAGTAGTGACTGGGGCAATAGGTGGTTCTATTTCCATTCCCCAGTTAACATACTCCTGAAGACACACCTCAGAAGATTCATACATACAATTATGAGCAGAAATTGACCCAAAGAACTAGTATCTTTTGTGGCAAAGGTAACTAAGGCCCTAGGAAGAACTTAAGAGCAAGATTTTAAAGTGTAAGAAACCTACTTAAAGCTTGATAGCAAACAAGAAAAATGTACTGACATTAAGTAAAGGAGATGAGGTTAGACCATGAAGAAGAAAATGAAGTTAACATTAAAAAGCTACAAGGCCATGTTCAGGGCCCTTCAAAGTTGTAAGTGTGAATATCTGAGACAGGAAAGAGTATCAGCAAAAGAGGACTTCAAGAGGATGAAAGTTAAAGAAGTAGAGAAAGAAATGCACTTAAGTAAAAGAAGTGAGAGAAGAGGGAAGAATGAAATGACTGATGATAACAGGGTGCATGTTACAAGGACGGTAAAGTGATGTCTCAAAAACCAGATGATAGCTTGGTGATGAGAATGGGGGAGAGATGATCAATAAGTAAGTAAATACTCAAGGTAATTTCAAATAGCTACTAATATGAAGAAAAAAAGGAAGGTAACATTAAGGTCAAGGCCATGACACGATTCGGCAGCAAAAAGACAATGAAGGCAACAAGGCAGGAGGGGAGTGGGGGTACATCCTAGACACACTCGAACGGATTGAGGAGACGTGAAAACTGACCGAGTCAGTGAATATATGACACCAACAGTAAGTTTTGCCGATGAGATGCAAGTCACTAAAGAGAACAGCAAAATTTTAGCAATTCTGGGGGTCTGTTGGGTATGTATACACAACTGGGGATGGCTTCAGAGGGAACTGGGTTCCCACATGCACTTGGGAAAAAGAAAAAACCACATTGGTGCGTCAGGTATCGGAGGAACCCACCCCCGATAATTCAACATAGGTTCTTTTCTATTTCCCTAAATGTCGGTCGGTCTGAGAAATAAAGGAAAAGAGTACAGAAGAGAGAAATGTTAAAGCTGAGTATCTGGGCACACATCACGTCGGCAGGTTCCGTGATGCCCCCCAAGCTGCGAAGCCAGCAAGTTTTTATTAGTGATTTTCAAAAGGGAAGGGAGTGTACGAATAGGGTGTGGGTCACAGAGATCACATGCTTCAGAAGGTAATAAAATACCACAAGACAAATGGACGCAGGGCGAGATTACAGGACCAGGGCAAAATTAAAAATGCTAATGAAGTTTCATGTCCCACTGGGCACGCACTGTCATTGATAACATCTTATCAGGAGACAGGGTTTCAGAGCAGACAACCAGTCTGACCAAAATTTATTAGGCAGGAATTTCCTCGTCCTAATAGGCCTGGGAGCACTACAGGAGACTGGGCCCCAGCTTATTTCATCCCTTATCTGCAACCGTATAAGACAGACATTCTCAGAGTGGCCATTTCAGAGACCTCCCCCTAGGAACACATTCTCTTTCTCAGGGCTGTTCCTTGCTGAGAAAAAGAATTCAGCGATATTTCTCCTATTCGTTTTTGAAAGAAGAGAAACATGGCTCTGTTCCGCCTGGCTTTCAGGCAGCCAGACCTAATGGTTATCTCCCTTGTTCCCTGAACATTGCTGTTATCCTGTCCTGTTCTTTTTTCAAGGTGCCCAGATTTCATATTGTTTTTTTTCAAGGTGCTCAGATTTCATACTGTTTAAACACACACGCTTTATGAAAAACGTGTACAGTTAATGCAATCGTCACAGGGTCCTGAGGTGACATACATCCTCAATTTATGAAGATGACAGGATTAAGAGATTGAAGACAGACATAGGAAATCACAAGAGTATTGACTGGGGAAGTGATAAATGTCTATGAAATCTTCACAATTTATGTTCAGAGATTGCAGTAAAGACAGGCGTAAGAAATTATAAAAGTATTAATTTGGGGAACTAATACAAGTCCATGAAATCTTCACAATGTATGTTCTTCTATCATGGCTTCAGCCTGTCCCTCCGTTTGGGGTCCCTGACTTCCCGCAACAGTAATGATAATGATGGACAGACTGTTAGACCTAAACTGCCTGGGAAGAGAAGTGAGGATGCAGTGAATCTGACAGTGAAAAAACACCAGAGGAGTCTGTGGGTTGCACATCTCAGACGAACTGTGAGGGAGACCTAACCAAGGAAGGGTCACAAAGGACAGCACAGGAATGCTCAGAGTTGAGACTTTAGGCATGATGCAGTGAATGGCATCAACATCATCACAGATGTGACCACAGGAATGGGGGCATGAGGCCTACAAGGCACACAGTTACCATCTAACCACTGCAACTGTTCTTTCTTCCACTGTGACATTCAATCCGCTTATGAAAAACATCTAATGCTCTTCACTGGCTAAGGTTCTAAGGGTAACAACTGTCAAGGAACACTTACCCAGAATTTGGCCAGTGAGTTGCTTCTCCGTAACTGTAGTTGACAAGATCACACTTATGATTTATAACTTCTATCATCTATTAAAATGATTAAAGAGTCTAGTTTAGGCAACAATTTATAGAAACAGATTAGCCAGTAAAATAAGGGCATATATATAATCCTATAGTTTCTTAGCCAATCATATTCTAATTTATAAGTTACCTCCAGGCATATCACCATATACCTGGACATATAAGTACATAAACACAAAAAGGTAGGAGGAGACACATAATAAAGTAGTCAATGAAAAAAAAAAAAGCTAGCATTTCTAGAAAAGAGTGGGGTTAGAGGGGGAGAGTGGTAGAGGGAATGGAATGGTCCTTCCTAGGTTAAAAAATCACTAAAATTAGGGCCGGGTGCGGTGGCTCACGCCTGTAATCCCAGCACTTTGGGAGGCCGAGGCGGGTGGATCACGAAGGCAGGAGATCGAGACCATCCTGGCTAACACCGTGAAACCCCGTCTCTACTAAAAATACAAAAAAAAAAACTAGCCAAGCGTGGTGGCGGGCACCTGTAGTCCCAGCTACTCGGGAGGCTGAGGCAGGAAAATGGAATGAACCCAGGAGGCGGAGCTTGCAGTGAGCCGAGATCGCGCCACGGCGCTCCAGTCCAGCCTGGGCGACAGAGCGAGACTCTGTCTCAAAAAAGAAATCACTAAAATTAAATATACTTTCCTACGTTAAAATGACGTACAGAATATTAGCTGAGGTTTTAAATTCCTCTTAGGCTAGAGAAAGCTGGCTAAGAGGTCTTTCAAGTATCTCAAAATTGCTTGTTAGGAGATTTGCTAGAAATGATGAGTATGAAGTAAGTAATTTTTTCACAAAGGTTAGGCCAAATAACTTACCATAATAATATTTAATAAAAATAAAAATAAATTAGTAAATATTTTTGCTTTGTTAAACAAAGTCCTGTACAGTATATATATTTCAACGTATTCTTGGTAAACCAGGAGCACTTACAAACCTAAAAATATCCAAGATCATTAATCATTAATCTTCTGAATCAACAACTCACAAACACTCACAGCTCTTATGAGGCCTGTGCCTGTTTCCATTGTGCTTAGTCTTGTATCACCAATCTTGATGGAAAGAATTTGAGCACCAGGAGCTACCCCATTCCGTTCAGGTTCTTCTGGAAAGTGTCCAGCAGCTATACTAGCTACATGTGTCCCATGAGCTCCTAGAGACATAAAGGTGGGGAAATGACAAAACATTCTCATGGACTGAAAGGTCATTCAATTCAATTTGTACATTATTAATCATGATAAAAAGAATACACATTACTCTGCTACCCTGTTCACGGAGAGCAAAAACTCAAGTCACAAAGGAAAAGTATTTGCAACATATATAGCTGACAAAGAGCTTATATCTGGAATATATAAAAATCTTTCAAATTCACAATAAAAAAAGGGAGAATCCCCCCTTCAAACATTTGAAAAAGCATTTTATAAAAGAAGATATCCAAAGGGCAAATAAACACACGATAAGATGTTTAATTTCACTCGTCATCTGGGAAACGCAAATTAAGCCACAAAAAGATGCTTCTACATACCTTCTAGAATTGCCAAAATGTTAAAGGCTGACAAAAGCAAGTGTGGATGGAAGTACATACCACAAACTGCTGGCTGAAGTGAAAGCTGAACACTGCCACAGCCTATGAGCCAGCCATAACTACCTCTAGCTACACACAATACAAAAATGTGTGCACACATAACTAAGACACCCGCAAAAATGTTCATGGCAGCACTGTTTATAAGATTCAAAAACTTAAAAACAACCACAATATCCATTAATAGTACATGGTTACACGTACATCAATTCATAGAACTGACAATTATACAGCAATATATATAAACTACTACTATGTACTATGAGATAAAGCTCACAAAAATAAGGCTGAACTAAAGAGTCACACACAGAAATGTATATTGAAATTTCATATAAATGAAAAAAAGGCTGAACCATCTGAAACTGGCACTATTTTATCATTTCTGATCATAAAAAGAGCAACATCATATGGTCCAAACTAATGTGGCAAAGGAGATCAGGTTAGTAGTTAACTGTAGGAGATGGGAGGGTAGGTTACTGATTAGGAAGGGGCATGATGGGAGTTTCATTATGTTTTATTTCTTGACCTGAGTTATGGTTACAAAGAAGTGTCCACTTTGTGGTAATTCGAAGAGTCGTACAACTTGTGATTTGTAACCGTTTTTATACATGTTATATATAAAGTAATACTAAAACAAAAAACTAGCCTTTTAGTGAAAAGGTTTCTTAAAAGACATGAATATAGAGAAATACTCCACTACTCTCAGAAAAACAATAATACAAGCACAATCATAAATGACAACTGGCATTGGGCCTTAACGTTTGGGGACTGTAGTGTGTTAGAGCTCCGGGGGAAGTAGGCAGGCATCTCTATGTGGCTTTGAATGGGGTCTGCAGCAATGCTGAGTCTCCTCTGCTCTAGCCAGATGCTGTCATGCAAGAAAACATTCACCCAACGTTGCGGATTCTGGCTTTCTTATTTTTTTCCCCAAACAAAATTGGGAAAGCACAATTTTAATGTGATTTTTCTCCAAAATACCTTACACCAGTTAGAATTACTACTATTAAGACTGACCACAGCCAAATGTTGCTGAGGATACGGAGCACCTGGAATTTTCATACACCACGGTGGAAGTGAAAAGGGTACAGTCCCCTTAGATAACAGCTTGGATGTTTCTTTTTTTTTTTTTTTTTTTTTTGAGACGGAGTCTTGCTCTGTAGCCCGGGCTGGAGTGCAGTGGCCAGATCTCAGCTCACTGCAAGCTCCGCCTCCCGGGTTTGCGCCATTCTCCTGCCTCAGCCTCCGGAGTAGCTGGGACTACAGGCGCCCGCCACCTCGCCCGGCTAGTTTTTTGTATTTTTAGTAGAGACGGGGTTTCACCGTGTTAGCCAGGATGGTCTCGATCTCCTGACCTCGTGATCCGCCCGTCTTGGCCTCCCAAAGTGCTGGGATTACAGGCTTGAGCCACCGCGCCCGGCCTGGATGTTTCTTAAAAAGTTAAATGGCTGGGCATGATGGCTCACACCCGTAATCTCAGCACTTTGGGAGTGCAAGGAGGGCGGATCACAAGGTCAGGAGTTTGAGACCAGCCTGGCCAACATGGTGAAACCCTGCCTCTACTAAAAATACAAAAACTAGCCAGATGTGGTGGTACGTGCCTGTAATCCCAGCTACCCAGAAGGCTGAGGCAGCACAATCACTTGAACCTGGGAGGCAGAGGTTGCAGTGAGCCAAGATCCCGCCACTGCACCTATGCCCACTCCAGCCTGGGCGACAGAGTGAGACTCTGTCTCCAAAAAAAAAAAAAAAAAGAAAAAAAGAAAAGAAAAGAAAAAAGGTAAGTACATATTTACCATATCCAACTAGTTCTCTCAGCTATCAGCCCCAAAATAAATAAAAATATATGTCAACAGATACCAAAACAATCTAAATGTCCATCAATGGGAAGCTGGATAAACAAACTGTGGTGTAGCTATATAAAGAACTATTACTCAGAAATAAAGAGCCAACTTTATAATCATAACATGAATGAATCTCAAAATCATTATGCTGAGTGAAGGAAAGAAAACAGTATTTTTTATTTCACTTCCATAAAATTCTGGAAAGTGTGAAATAATCTGGAGTGACAGAAAACAAATCAGCGGTTTCCTGGGATGTGGGTGGAGAGGGGCTGGATAATAAAGAGAACAAACTTTTGGGGGTAATGAGTATGTTCATTACCTTGATAAAAGTTTATCAAAGTATATACATGTATGTATGTGACGTTTTTGTACTGAAGCTATACCTCAATGAACTGGGAGGTAGGAGGGGGGCATTAAAGAGTTAAAGTCATTCCACTTCATTCTCCTTTCTCCCCCCACCCAAGGAGGGAGAACCTCCCCCAGAAGTAGCCATCATCCTACTTTGTGCATAATCTTTCCATCTATATATTTAACATTTTCACCATACAAACACACATATCCATAAACACTGCACAGTACTATTAGGCATGTTTTAGAGTTCTACATGTTTTATCATCAATATAATTTATGTATTAGGGGTTCATACATATAGCATTTTGATTGCTATATAATACATTCAGCCCTCTGGATCCACAGGTTCCACACCAACCAGATGCAATTTAACCAACCACAGATCAAAAATATAAATATTAAAAAAAAAAGTATAACAACTATTTATATAGCACTTACATACTATAAGGTATTAGAAGTCATGTAGAGATGACTGAAAGCATATGGGAGAGCATGTGTGTAGGTTATACACAAACACTACATCATTTTATATCAGGTACTTGAGCATCCAAGGGACATTCTAGAACCAATGCCCCCAGATACCAAAGGATGACTGTATGATAGTAAGAATAACACACAGTTGTTGAAAAAATCTGTTTTTTTGTTAATAGGTATTTAGTTTCCAACTTTTTGGAAATCACACAACGCCATAGTGAGGATTCTTTTATCTGATTCTCTGTACTCATGGGTGAATTTCTCAAGAGTTAAGATTTCGAGGCAACATTGCTGTTCATAAGATAAATTCTACTGATGAATTTTTTTTGAGATGGAGTTTTGCTCTTGTTGCCCAGGCTGGAGTGCAATGGCACAGTCTTGGCTCACTGCAACCTTTGCCCCCCAGGTTCCCCAGGTTCAAACGATTCTCCTGCCTCAGCCTACCAAGTAGCTGGGATTACAGGCATGCACCACCACACCCAGCTGATTCTGTATTTTTAGTAGAGACGGGGTTTCTCCATATTGGTCAGGCTGGTCTCAAACTCCCAGCCTCAGGTGATCCGCCCGCCTTGGTCTCCCAAGGGATTACAGGCCTGAGTCACCGCACCTGGCCTATTGATGGATTTTCTGATGTTGGACCATGCTTATATTCTTGGACTGGATCCTATATGGTTATGACCTTAAAAAACAACATCTTGCAGGTGAATTAAATCACATTTATGATTCTGGACCTAGTCCTTTAGCTGGGATCTCTAGCTTAAAATTCTCTAGAAGGTTGCTGTGGGCTATTACAATGTACCACTTATCACCTCATATATCTATATCTCATTGGTCAATCTGAAACGGGATACCTCCGCTGGTCACAATGGAGAGCAGGTTTCCATCATCGTATATATTAACGGAGTAATTCAACATCTCAGCTGTGCCAAAAGAGCCATATTCTTGGGCTTCTTTGTAGTTTCTCAATACGGTGGATTTACTCAGGTCCCCATCTTCATTAGAATCAATGCAGGCTCTATTAATTGAAAAGAAACGGAGACAGTAAAATTTATTTTCTTATCTTTTTAAAAATCATGTAATACAGTCTCTCTGCTACTTTACTACGTTACTACTTCTACCATAACAAATACAATGGCTACCTGGTTTAGGCTGTTTCATAGAGCGGGCAGTAAGGATTAGGTAAGATAGCTTACAGGAACCAGTTCTTAAATCATGCACAAAGTGCTTTAAAAATACTGTCCTTCACAAAACTTTAGGTTGAAAACCACCTGAACTCTTAAGAATTAGAGCTAAAACTTGGCTTAGAGTTTTAGAGCAGTTTAGGATAGTTCAGACACATGGCCTAGGTCTAATTTCCAGCTGCTGCTTTTAGTAATGGCTTCGAGAATCTAACAGTTTACACAAGTTCTTTGAAACTAGGTGAATTTTACTGAGCTTCAGTCCTATAGTTATAACAGACTTTTATTTATTTCTCACAAAAGCACTTTCTACATTATTTTATGGTTGTCTTCCTTCATGTTTTTTCCATTTTACTAGCATTTTAGTTTTTAAATTACATTCCAAACACTTTAGAAGATAGCCTGATTAAAACAAAATACACCTAACATTCAAAAAGTCATAAATGAAATGAACACCATTAAAAGTTCAATATTATGTTTTTAGCTGTAAGTATGTTTTAGCTGCAAGAACTGTCTTTTAACAAGCTATGCAAGTCAGTCAAAATTGCCAAGTAAATTAATGGAAGCCTATTGGTAGAGCACAGAGAGAAGATTTATCGTAAATACTGAAGCATATTTCATTAACAAATTACAACACTTTGGAAAAAAGGATTCTTAAAAATTTGTTTTTATGCATGCCCTAATGTGACTGATGTCATTTCAAATAATACAGAATATACCAACGTATAGGAAACTAAACACTTATGGGGAAAATGAAGCAAACAGCAAACAAGTCACGTATTAAAACAGAATCAGGCTTGAGACTGGTTGGTAAAATGCATGTCGCCAAATCTTCCATATGCTACAGAAAGTAGCACTTGTCTCCAAAATGTATGCAATCGGCCAGCATCCATCCTGGAAGTCATCCATGAAGTCCTCCCTCTGCCCTTCCCCAGCCCATCTAACTGCACAGTCCCATCTCCACAATGTGTCTGCCTATTTCCACTGTCCCTTCCTTACCTCTGTTGCCTGACGAGCCGATGGCCTGCTCTGCCTCTACGTTTGACTCCTGCTTTTTAAAACCTTCCATGTCTTCCAACGGCTCTTAACACTGAAACTCCAGAGCAAGGCCCCTAATAATCATCTGCTCACCTCCCTTACCTCTTGCTCCCATCATATGCTTTGTGGCCACACCAAACTTCTCACAGTTCCTCCAACATCCTCCGGATCTTTCCCCTACCCTTTCTACCTCTCTGCTTAGTTTACTGTGATGATCCTTCAAGTCTCAATTTAAGATGTCATTGCTACTTTTGGGAAATCTTTCTCAATGCTTCCTAGACTGGTTCAGACGTTCCCAACACTTGCTTCCATGGAGTCTAGAGTCCACAGAGTAGCTTCTATAGTGTCAACCTGATACAAAGAAGGTACTCAATAAACATCTGCCACATGATTAAAGAATTAATGAAATCATCATCTTTAACAACATTCTCACAGCAAATACAGTGACACATTCCACAGGTCAGTTTCTTATAACCACCATCATTGGAGTGACTCAACAATACAACCAACACATCAAAACATAAATTACTACTGACTTCCCTAAATAACTCGACAGGAGAACTATGAATGTGGTGCAAGGTTATAAGTTTCTGAAGGTCTAGTTGGCTGAATTCAAGTAGTAGTTAGAATACAGAGAAAGGATACGAAAATGAGGCTCATACACAGAGCAGGGTACATGTAAGCTGGGAGGATGATGAGAAAAGACTTTTGTTTTACGTATTTCTCGACATTTTCACACATCTCTCAATTTTCTATGGAAAGAATATAGAGCTTTCATCAAGAAACTAAAGGAAACATGACATAAGCAAGGTCAAAACCCACCGTAAAGAAATCAACTAATAGCTTCTCCTTTATGTAATCCTCTGTAAACACTGCTTCTCTCAACCAGTTTTTGCTCCATTTGGAGTGACAGTGAGTCTGAGGCTCTGCGTCCTGACAGATGCTCAGAGCAGAGTCATCTGAGGCCACCCGTTAAATGCAGAGATATGCGCTTAACAATTAGCAGAAATGTGGAAGGGAGAGCACCCGCTGGACATTCGTCATCAAACAAAACAAAACAAAAAACCCAAAGTACTTAAAAGAACAGTTCACTTTACCTCCCTTCGGAAATGGTTGGCATTTTTGAAATGTGAAATGAGAACATCTGCAGACAGGACTGGATTAACCTTATGTACCCTGGGATCTTCAAGGTTCTCTTCAAAAAATTTTGATCTAACCTGGAGATCAAAGCCCTACAGGATATACTGTATTATGCAAAGAAGTTACATTTTATCTAGTACCACCTGAAAGTATAATTATGCTATATTCATTTACTATAATAAAATGTTCTAAAATGTTATTCTAAGATTTCAGATTTTATTTCATTTAATGTTAGATTAAATTTCATTTCTAACTCAAAAACTCTAAACAAAACCCTTAGAATAGTTATCAACAAACTGCCAGAAGTGAGTCACTTTATCAAGTACTGTGAAGACCAAGGAAACCCTGCGGAAACACACACTGGCACCCTGAACATCCTGACTCCGGATTCCCTTTCCTAGGACAAAGTCATCTGCAGTGTTTTCAGAACCTAGAGCAAACACTTTAAATGAAAACACCTACTGCCTCACTACTCAATCCCTGCTAGTATTTTAGTATTTCTCTAAGTCCTTTTGTCATATATACTTTCCTAAATATGCGGTTTTGTATTTAGCATTTTCCTTGAATTTAACCTTGCCTCCTTCCCCACACTAAAACGCACCTAAGGCTTATCACTGAGTGTGACTGTATCATGTTACCCCAGATGGTGGATGTACCAAGGTTTATTATTCTTTATAAAGCCTCTAAAAAATAATTTTTCAAAACGTGTATGCATGTGCACACATCAAAACAACATATGTGAATACACATAAAAGTGCATTAATATTTAATATCATCTAGATTGAAAGTTATGTGCAGCAGTCATTTTATTAACACCATCGTCCCCAAATTGAGCCGAAATTTCTCATTCAACTGAACATTGTATATACCTTTGATTAAAGATGAGTTAGTACCTGCACACGTGGAAGGAGAAGGGTGCATTGTGAAGGTAAACAATTGCGAGAGCAGTGAGGAAGCTGTCATGGCATGATCTGTATCTGCCCCACCCTGTGATGCAATTCTTTGCATATAAGCAGGGACGCAGACTACAAGTAATTCTTGACTACAAGTTTAAGAAATAGTCCCTGTTTTTTATTTTGCAGAAATCCTAAAGCACACATATGGCTAAATATGTGTATTAACATGTCTTCCTGTTTTCACGCAGATAGTAACTCAAGAAGGCAGACTAACCAACTCCAAGAAGCACTATGCAGTATATAAGGCACTAAAAAAGAAACTGAAAAACGTACATGATAGGTAACTTGGTATAAATCACATTATTATTATTATTTTTCAGTTTTAGTACTAGAAACAGCAGCAGCAATAATAGCATACAGTGATTGCTTACTATATCTAGAAACATCAAATTTAGTTTTCTCAAAGCCCTGTAAGTACCACTATCTCAAGTAACAAATGAGGAAACATTTCAAATATACAGATGGCCAACATACTAATAAATTATTAATGAAATAGGTTTCTTTAAATCAGATAAAATTCAGGTTTACTGTCAAAAATCATAACTAGAAGTTCAAGGGGCTTGTCCAAAACGACCCAGATTTGGCCCTCAAATGATTCTGCTGAGTGATACTGTCACGAATAAACCAAAATTTTGTGCAGCTCTGAGCACTTAATGTTTTTCAGAGTAGATAAGAAAACATTTGTAAATGAAGATCTATAAAATACATGAAGTTTACCTCCAGACTTCACCATCATGCCATACCAAGCAGTCATATACAGGGCCAGGATCGCTGTATTTCTTCTCGAAAGAATTCAGCAATTCCACTTGACTTTGAAGCTCCTCCTTGATGAGTTTATTTGCCTAGTCAATTGGAAAACTGATTAACATTAGTACATTCTGTACTTCTGAAAGTTGTATTAACATACAACAAAAGATACAATGTTAATCAATAGTAAATTTATTTTACCCTGAAAAAATGTAAGAAAATTTTGTTCTATCTATGCAACTTGTCATTCAATTCAATGAAGCAGATATCCATTCATACAGTAAAGATCTAAACAACAGTTATTTTACTCAATCTCATTTACTCACTCACTAGGCCTGCTTTGGGAACTACATTGTGCTACATGTTGGTGATTCCCTTTAGCCAAGATATGCTTGTTACGTATTTCTCATCTAACTCATTTTCAAAAGCAACTTTAAAACTGCTACAAAATAGGTTATCTATTGACTTTCAGATTTTTATATCAGGACCTGATCTATCTCAAATTTATTTTCTTAAGAATCCAAATAAATAATAAAACCCATGAATCATCTTATCTCTTTTAGAAACTGCTATGTTAAAAAGAAACACTTAATGGGGTAAGTGAAATCTTATTTTAGCTCTGTGGTCATTAATAAAACCAAGTACTTTACATTCGATAATGTACAAACTAGACAACAACTGGCACTAGCATGTGTTACCTCTCCAAAACATTTCTCTAACCTAGAGTATATATAAAAAATAAGTTAGGTACTCAAATAATTAGGGAAATGACTGGTTTAAACAGAAATAAGCTGGGAGATAGAAAGGCACATAAATACTGATATTAAGACGAATAATATCTCTAGACTCACTATGTTACTATATTAAGATCCAGCAGGGGTTGACAAATCATGGTGCATGGGCCAAATCTAGCCTGTGACAAAGTTGTGTAAATGAAGCTTTACTGGAACATGGCCTTCCTGGTTCAGTTACATATTGCCTATGTTTTCATGATACAAGGGGAGTGTTGCGTAGTCATAAGAGAGTACTAAAAATATTTACTATTTGGCAATTTATAGAAAAAGGTAGCAGTCTTTGATCAAGAGCACCTAATATTGCTTAAAATCAATCTGCCTTCTATAAATAGCGTGGTGTGAGTATTAACCTAGAGAGAAGAAATATGGATTCAATTCAGAAACTTAGCTGTGCAATCCTGAGCAAGTTATTTGTCCTTATGATAATCTGAGGCTGTCACATCAGAAACTAGTAGGATAGCAAATTATCTTGGCCAATGATTACTAAATTCCACGCAAATCACAATCATGTAAAGCCTACCACAAATATCGATGCTATTTCTCATCCCACATAGTAAATCAGAATTATCAGGGGATAAAGCCCAGAAATCTTAATTACTTTTAAAATAATTCAGGTGATTTAGAAATAATCAGTTCATCAGTATCAGTTCCATAAATAAGTATATGGGAACCAAGGACTACACCCTCTCGTGTTTTGAAACAAGGACCATGAGGTCTAACATATTAACTGAAAAATGAAGTATTCTGAAATCCCTTTTTAGAAAAGTGACAATAATACATATAATTAGAGAATACATAGGCCAGGCACGGTGGCTTATGCCTGCAATCCCAGCACTTTGGGAGGCCAAGGTGGGCAGATCACGAGGTCAGGAGTTCAAGACCAGCCTGGCCAACATGGTGAAACCTCGTCTCGACTAAAAATGCAAAAAAAAACCCAAACAAACAAACAAACAAAAATTAGTTGAGTGTGGTGGCACATGCCTGTAATCCCAGCTACTTGGGAGGCTGAGGCAGGAGAATAGCTTGAACCTGGAAGGCGGAGGTTGCAATGAGCCGAGATCACACCACTGCACTCTAGCCTGGGACAGAGCGAGACTCCATTTCAAAAAAAAAAAAAAAAAAGAAAAAAAACAACAAAACATACTATATGGTTCCATTTTACACAAATCAAAATAGGCAAAATCATCTGCAGTGTTAGAAGTCAAGGCGGTGGTTGTCTTTGGGAAGAGAAAGGGAGCAGTGACGAGGAAGGGGCACAAGAGAAATTCCCAGGTGCAACTTTCATGGGAGAATTCATAACTAAACACAATTTTTGTACTTTTACCCTATATGTATTATATGTTAAGTTTTAAAAATTCATACATATGTACACTGACTTGAGGATAAAGGAAAAATTAGTAAAATTAACCAACTTAAAAGAAAATTTGTGAAAAAAGAAAACTTGTGAAAAACAGTCTATTAGTTCTCTAAAAACTCTATGGGAATATGGTTCTAGGGTAATGTTTAAATGAAATCGACTAGCACCAACTTGAGAAGACCCGTTGTTGGCAACATCAAATTCTTCCTGTTTTCTACAGGCTTCTGCAAGGGCCACTCTGTGAACAGGGTCCCAGATCTTTTCCTTCCGTTCTTTCTGCAAAGAGAGAAAAATTGTTATAATTAAGCTGACAAATGCTCAGGTAAACCTAGACAGGCATTTGTATGTGAACTTTGTTGTTACAGCTGTGGTGCTACACAATTCTCATAGAGAGGTTTTAAAAAATCATTTCTGGCTGGGCGTGGTGGCTCACGCCTGTAATCCCAACAATTTGGAAGGCTGAGGTGGGCGGATCACCTGAGGTCAGGAGTTCAAGACTAGCCTGGCCAACTTGGTGAAACCTCGTCTCTACTAAAAATACAAAAATTAGCTGGGTGGGGTGGCAGGTGCCTGTAATCCCAGCTACTTGGGAGGCTAAGGCACGAGAATAGCTTGAACTCAGGAGACGAAGGCTGCAGTGAGCTGAGATTGAGCCACTGCACTCCAGCCTGGGCAACAGAGTGAGACTCTGTCTCAAAAAGAAAAAAAATCATTTCTAATGAAGAGGATAAAGCCACGGATCACTTATTAAAAACTGGTTAGTCAATTCATTGCACCTACGGTTTAAGAGAAGTTTACCAAGACATATCCAGATGTATTGTTATGTGTCATATTCCCCAATTTAAAACCTTCTCTTCTCCAGGAATACCTAGTACTACCTCAGAAAACTGACTGAACTCCCAGTCATTAAAAGGAAGAAAATGTTGTATTCTGGGCCCATACAAAATTGGGAAATGCCATAAGCCTAGCAGAGGACTAGATTAAGACTACAGCTGCACTTTGACAGATAATGCAGGCTTCCTCAATTTCCTCCCTCTCTATTTTTTTTCCATCCTCTTTGACTTGATAGGGTTCTGTATTACTGAAATTGGTTTTAACCTTATCTCCAGTGTCTTTAACTCATGGTATCTCCCCACGCAGCTAAAGGAACAGTCCACGTTACTTTAACAACACTATATTTGCATATTAAATTATATCCTATCAACACAGCTGATTAAATTTAATAAACTGTATAAAATGCGGTCATGCAATGGTTCACACCTGTAGTCCCAGCACTTTGGGAGAATGAGGCAGGTGGATCACTTGAGCCCAGGAGTTCGAGACTAGCCTGGGCAACATGGTGAAACCCCATCTCTACAAAAAATACAAAAATTAGATGTGTGTGGTGGTGTGTGCCTGTAGTCCCAACTACACGGGAGCATTGCCCAGGAGGTTGAGGCAGTTATTAGCTGTGATCATGTCACTGCATTCCAGCCCGAAATTTTAAAATAACATATTATGCAATAAAAGTTATATGCATTATTCTTGTTTATTTTGCAGAATGATGAGAAACTGACAAATAAGGTAATCTGAGTAACTTCTTATGCTTCACAGGCCCTTGGGAAAATAACACTACAGAGGCAAGGGCCCATACATCTTATTCATCAGGCTCAATACCCAAGATTATACCTTATCTTACAGCTGCAACCCTGGACTTGTATTAGGTACTTGTATTAGCTACTTGTACCAGCATTCTCAACACAGTAGTCACTAGCCACATGACACTATTTAAACTTAAATTTTAAAATATGACGTAAGATAAAATTTCAATTCCTCAGTCACACTAGACATATTTCAAATTCTCAATAGCTACACGGCTAGCGACTACCATAATGGTCAGAGCAGAAACTGAACATTTCAAACATTTCCATTATCACAGAAAGTTTACTGAACTGTTTTAAAGCACGCTCTTTATCATTCTGCTTACCACTCTTATTTTTCTAACGGCACACTAGTGCTTCTTACACTTCAGCAGTTTTAGGTCTGATTAACACTTACCTTAATACTAAATGATGACTAAGTGGGAGCAAGAAGGCTAGTTAAACAGGGGAGGGACATTATCACAGAAACTACAGGAACAGAAACGAAAAGGTGGTCTGGACTTTGAATTCACTGTCTTTAGCCTTTTTCAAGTAAAAAAGTCCTTCAAAAATCCAGCAAAAGCGATATCCCATCTCCCAGAAAAAACACAAAAATCTGAATATAATTTCAGTGTATTCACAGATTCCCTAAGCTTATCCATGTACTCAAGATTAAGAATCACGACTTTACATGGATGACATTCCATTGAGCAGAATCTTTAAGCAGTCATTGTTTGAAAGCCACCAACCCCCCAAAAAACTAAGAGTTAATAAGATTTTATGAAATATTTCTTCAGTAGGAATAAAATCTGAGGAAGAAGACAAGTCAGAAGAATACAAGTCATTGGTACCAGATTGTACATTACCTGTATCCTTTCCTTGAGAGCCTTAGGATAGAAGTCATAGCCATTTTTTATGCCAATATGATATTTGCCTGAGGGATTTGTCCAGCTTGCAGGAATCTACAGAAAAAAAAAAAAAAAGGGTAACCTGTTCATTCACTAAATGCTTTCCAATTCCAATGATACACTACTGAGCAAAAAAGTATATTACTTCTACTCTAACAAGCTTAAATTGGATAAGGATGCTCATGTATGACAACAATGTGTTGAAGACTCTTAAGTAGTTAATGTCTTTATCACTTCTTTTTTCTTGTCCATAAATAATTCAACTAGAATAATACCTTTCATTTATACAATGTTTCGTAAAAAGTGCTTTCAACATACACTGTCTCAATAAACCATTAAAATCTGGTAATAATCTTTTAAACTATCTCAAAGTATTTTAAAACACTTTAAACTTTTAGTAGAGCGAGGCACACAGTATGCTTAGTTTACAAATAGAGAAAGCAAAGCAGCAGAGAAATCAAATCACTTGCCCGAACAACAGGAAAGTTGAAAACTGGAACCTAGTTCTATCATGGAAATCAAAAATTCTGTATAAAGGATATGGGATTTAAAGTCAGATAAATCTGGCTCTGAATCCAAACTCTATCACTAACTAGAAGGAACCCACAGGCTTCTACTTCGTTATCTGTAAAAGGAAGAAAATCTCTACCTTATTCTTGTGAACAACAAAGTGAACTGAGCGTCAACCAACATCAATCATCAATCAAGAAAATGTAGGGTATTTATACTCTTTGCAATCATGGAACCGTGGTCATCAAAACCAGCTTTTAAATATGTATAAATGAAAAGGTTGAAACACGCAGAGCTGGTAGCCTCATCAATCCTCACTTGTGCAGTATCTTTAACTCATCCCTATGTCCTTCATCCAATTACTTCCCAGGCAGAAAACTTTTGGATGAAATTTCCTCACAACTAAATAGAGGAAAACAATCATTCACAGAGCTTCAAGGAGCTATTAATACTACGTAGTGACCTTTTGAAGGCCTATGTGCCATTAATCACTTCCAAATCAACTGGATGTCTGGAGAATGTGTAATTTCAAACATGTTGGCATACAAGCTAGCACTTTTCACTCAAAACTTAACCTTCTTTAGAGAATAGGAATTCTGAACTTTAATGTTTTTGCAACAGCCCATGGCAAAACAGTAAAGCACTGCAACAACAAAATGGGAAATAGTCATTAGCTTTTAAATTCAGAGTATTTATTCACCCGTGTCCCCTACACAGGTGGCTTTGTAACCCTCGGCAAGCAGCAACTTCTTTGTACAAAGACATTACAGAAAATCATGAAATGCCAAAAGATTAAATGAAGTAACTAATTAAAATAACTGCAAAATAGAAAGGCGTTAAGTTATATATAATCACACAATAAAAACAATCCAACAGAATTTATATTTAAATATAAATGAGATCCAAGTCTGCACGGTTCATGGAAACAGATACTTCTCAAATGACAACTATGTATTTTTCCTTACCACGAAGGCAGACTAGTTACAAAAAGTACACCAAAAAAAATCATATAAAAGTTATAATCAGGGCTATCTAACTTTAGGCGAGCAAGAGTAAAGCTAACTTTATGAGGCAATTATGAAACTTTATTTTGCATATTTGAGTATTCTACATAAAGTTATTTTTTATTTCTAAGAATAAAATCTTTACATTTGACCATTTTAAGTTGGTATCTTAAAAATAGTTCTAATTACACAGTAACTACAATGTATTAAGACTGATTTTCATATGATACAAGTAATCTTTTTAATTACCAATTACACCTCATTTCTCTGACTCTCTTAAAGAGAGGATGCCTAACAAATCGAACATTTTTCTTAATGGGCCAAGTGTCACCTGAGTGTTAGGGTACCATGTGGTGAAGTCCTCTTAGAAGCTTTTTTTGCTTCCAAATGATTTCAGTCTTGCCAGCCTCATCACACAGGCCAGGGCACATGCACACTGTTTCCTTTGGCTGTCACTGCATCTAAGTACCATGCTGAATCTGGCCAAGTCATTCAATATGCCTGGATTTATCTTTATTTATTTAAAAAAAAAAAAAACAAAAAAAACCCAAAAACATTTAAGACTAAGTGTTGTTTTTAAAATGACTTCCAGTTAAATGTGGTAAAATGAAAAAAATTCCAAAATGCTACTAAAATTAGAATAAAGGAAGTGGGGGAAGCATCCAAAAACAAAGGGACAAAGAGAATATGAAAGAGACTTTAGAAGCTCACCACATTTTGAAGGGTGCCAACTGAAAAGAAGGCACTAAAAATTAGAGTGAAAATCGTGGAATACATGGTGCTGGGTGAAAATTGTGGAATACATGATGCTGGGACAACTGGGTCTTCTTACAGCAAAAAGTAAACAGAACTCTTCAAATTAAGCATATAAAATCAATTCCAGGTGAATTCTAGAACAAACGAGAAAAGCTGTGAAACTTCTTAGAAATATAGGAGAATATCTCTATGATCATGGGGTCAGAAAACACTTGTTATACACTGCTAGTGGAAATGTCTTTTTGTAATTTTTCTGAGAAGGAGTCTTGCTCTGTCGCTCAGGCTGGTGTGCAGTGGCGCCATGTTGGCTCACTGCAACCTCTGCCTCCCAAGCTCAAGTGATTCTCCTGTCTCAGCCTCCCTAGTAGCTGGGATTACAGGCGCGCACCACCCTGCCTGCCTAATTTTTGTATTTTTAGTAGAGAGGGGGTTTCGCCATGTTGGTCTGGCTGGTCTTGAACTGCCGACCTCAGGTGATCCACCTGCCTTGGCCTCCCAAAGCGCTGGGATTACAGGCATTAGCCACTGCGCCCGGCCTGGAAATGTCTTTCAATACAAACACTTGGTCAAGGAGATGTCCTGTCCAAGTGAAAAACACACAGTTGGAAAAACTGTTTGGCATGACCTAGTGACGTATCTCCATGATTCAGCAATTCTACTCCTAAGAACACATCCTGGAGACATCCACACACATGTGCACAGGATACACACACATCACAGCAGAATGGATAGAATGTGGTAGGTACAAACCATGGCATGAAACTGATAAATCATTGCTGCCCGTGACAACATGGGCAAGTCTTACGAAACTGAAATCTCACAACACCGAGGGAAAAACGATGTATGACGAAATTTTATGAATGAAATGAGACTGTTCATGTCAAGTTCAAAACTGAACAACATATTTTATGTAGACACACAGATGTGGTAAAACTACACACAAAAAAGCAAAGGAATGATGATCACAAAAGTTGAAATAGGCTGTGCTGTAGGAGGATGCAGGAAGTTTCTGATGTACGGCAATACTCTTTATCTTGATCTGGGTGGGTACCATGGTGTTAGCTATACTATTCATAAAACTGTATATATGTGTTTTACGTACTTTATGTATGTATATTTTATAGTAAAAGGTTTTAAAGTTATATTCCCCTTTCGTACTTTCATCTGCTCATGGGAATACCATAGGCCATAAGTAGCTTACCATTGGTTTCTCAAGGAGGCCTAGGAATGTCATTCTTAGAGAATGAGGCTACTGAAGTGTTCAAAGCACGTAACAGTTATCTTAAACTGACAGAAAAATAAAAAGTCTGTTAGCAGTTTACGGGCTATGTGAAAAAAATAGACTATAAACATTCAATTCATTTCAAAGCATGATGGCTGCGTGCGAAGGCTTACGTCTGTAATCCCAGCACTTTGGGAGGCCGAAGCGGGTGGATCACCTGATGTCAGGAGTTCGAGACCAGCCTGGCCAAGATGGTGAAACCCCATCTCTACTAAAAATACAAAAAATTAGCCGGGCTTGGTTATTTGGTTTAGGTGTCTATCATTCCTGCCTGCCTTATTTTAGCAAGGCACAAAAAGTGATTGGAAGCTCCTCTGCTTGTGTGGGGTCTTTTGGTGGGTTTCACTGTAGGGTAATGATAACATTTAGGGGACCCCCTTAATATCAGTATACACTGTATTTTTCCACTGGGATGCCCTGTTACCCTTAAAGAAGTCCTTAGCTCATTTGACCTGGGGTTTAGGGGGAGGAATGTCACAAAGTCTGGCCGTAGATATCCAGGTAGCCACACCATGCAAGCGGGGTCTGGAGTGATGTCCATGCAGACTCATTTTATGTCTTGCATCCTTTTGGTATTAGTCCTTTTCGACACTTGCTATGAAGAACACACCTGGATGACTGAGGGACATCTTATTGAAGAAAAGAGCGTAGGTTTAGTTGACTCACAGTCCTACACGCTTAACAGGAAGCATTGGACTTGGCGAGTCCCAGGAAACTTGCCAATCATAGGTGGAAGGTGAAAGGGGAAACAAGAATGTGTTTCTCATCATGACTTGGTAGGAGAGAGAGGCCAGCAAAGGCGAAGAAGGGCCATGCATTTATTGTACTTATTTATTTTTTCTTTTTCTTTTGAGATGGGAGTTTTTGCTCTTGTTGGCCCAGACTGGAGTTTGCCAACTGGCATGATCCTTGACTCACTGCAAACCTCCGGCCTCTCCAGGTTCAAGTAACTTCTCCTGCCTCAGCCTCCCAAGTAGTTGGGATTACAGGCGGCCTGCCCACCCACACCCGGGCTAATTTTTTGTTTTGGTATTTTTAGTAGAGACAAG